ATTCAATTCCAATGCCAATCTGAAACATTTACTCCCATTAACTGTTTCTTTTGGGAGATAGTTCTTCCCTATTAGTAGAGGCAACGGAAAAGCCATTGCTGTAGGCGGAGAAAAGAAAGTGCAGAAAAGTAATCAGAAATTGACTTTGGGATGGTGAATGGTTGTATTACATTTTAATCCAAACGTTAACTGTGATTCAATTCTTTGTCCTGGCAATAACAATTTTTTTTAACAACAGTCATGTGCAAGCACTGTAAAATATATGAGGTGTGTCACTTGGAATTGTGTTACCAAGAGCACAAGTTCAGAATCTGTATAAATAGATATTGTGTATTGTTTTGAAGTGTGTTGCGTAAATTCTTAATTTAATATCCCAAGTGGAAGACAGTGGACTTTTCATGTCCAATAGTTTCTAACACCAGCAACAAGGCTAAACTAAGCAAACCCTAGAGGTTATTTAGGTCTAAAGAACAATATTGAGTAAGTACATATGCATCAATTCACCTTTGAAATATTGGAACCCTAAAATTTCTTACATTTGTCCAACAATTGGTTGTGGAACTGATAGAATTTATCTAATCCCTCATGAGAGTTTTCTTCCTATCAATTTATGACACAGGAAAATGAACTCCAACAATTGGATTATTTGAGACATCTGAAAAATGAGCTTTTTTTTTTCTACATGGTACACCATGGAACTTGTCTAAATCAACCAGTGCAACTTCAAGCTCTTTAAACTAAGCTCCATTGGAACTTCTAGTCCAATTCAATCACTCCATTTGGTTCAAGTCCTTTTGAACCATTTGGTTCAAGCCCATAACTCCTCAATCCCTCTCCCTACCGCCACCCAACCAACCTCCATCTTATACCACCACTGGAAAAAAATCTCCCCCACCTCTCGCTCAGCTGCCTTGGAGGCATCTGAACTCCTTCCCCTCTGTGCGTCCTCCCGCAATGATCTATCCTCCTCCAGTTACTCTCCTCCACAGATCCCTCTCCTCTCCTCTCGATTCCCTTGCTCCCCTTTCTTCCCAAACCGTCTCCTACTCACGCAAATCTCCTTGGTATATCAGCCACCTCCGCTCCCTTAAAGCCCAGGCGCGTTCCTCTGAGTACACCTGGCTTAAATTAAACCTAACTGTCCATCGGCAGATCTGGCTGGACTATGTCAAAACCTACTGCTCTGCCCTCGCCTCCACTAAATCGTTGTTCTACTCCAAGACAATCTTGCAGGGTAAGGACAACCCCAGGCTCCTCTTCTCCATTACGAACCGGCTCCTCTGCCCACCCTCCCACTCCTCACCCATCCTCACCTCAAATGCCAACCCCGAGGCGATGCTGGACTTCCTCAAATCCAAAGTTGAGGGAATCCGCTCAGCTGCCTCTGCCACTGCAACTTCTATCCCCTCCCCATCTCCTCCTCCCACCCTGGCCAGTACCCATCCCTCCCTCAACACCTTTGAACCTGTCTCCCTCCTCCTCTCTCATCACCACCATAAATCGTATGAAACCTACACCTGCTCCCTCGACCCTATTCCTACCCCTCTTCTTATTTCCCAGCTCCACCTCCTTACCCGTCTACTCACTGACATCGTTAACCTCTCCCTGTCCTCTGGTACTGTTCCCGCCCCTTTAAAAACTGCTGTCATCACTTCTATCCTTAAAAAACCCTCCCTGGACCCTTCCCTACTCCCTAACTACTGCCCCATCTCCAACCTCCCCTTCCTCTCCAAGGTCCTGGGACGAGTTGTTGCTTCTTAGCTTCGCTTCTTCCTCTCCCGCCACTTCATTCTCGAAGCCCTCAAATCGGGCTTCCGTGCCACCCAGAGCACAGAAACTGCCTTGGTCAAAGTGACAAATGAGATTCTGTCCATCTATGACCAGAGCTCCCTCTGCCTCCTCGTCTTCCTTGACCTCTCTGCTGCTTTCGACACCGTCGACCATTCTATCCTGATCCACCGCCTCTCCTCTCACCTCAACCTCCATGGCACTATCCTTGACTGGTTCAGATCGTACCTTTCACACCCCTGCACTTCAACTCCCTCAAACGGCTTCTCCTCTAGCCCCCGGACTATCTCGTACAGTATTCCTCAGGGCTCTGTCCTTGGTCCCCTCGACTTCAATAGCTATATGCCCCCTCTTGATGACATCATCCGCAGACATGGGGTCAACTGCCACATGTATGCCGATGACACCTAACTCTATCTCTCTGCCTCCACACTTGACTCCAGCACCACTGCTGTGCTGACAGAATGTCTGTCAGACATCAAGTCCTGGATGAGAGCTAACTTTCTTCAGTTGAACATCAACAAAACTGAGGCTCTCCTGATTAGCTCCCATCAGCACCTCCTCACCTCAGGCGCTGTCAGCATCACCATCCATGGTTGCACACACCATCTTGCTAAGCCAGTCCAGAACCTTGAGGTCTTGTTAGACCCTCAACTATCCTTTCTACCCCACATCTGCGCTATGACCCGCTCTGCCTTTCCCCACTTCCGCAACATTGCCCGATTCCAACACTGTCTCACAACGCAGGCCGCCGAAACCCTCATACAGGCTTTCATTACATTGAGGCTCGACTACGCAAACTTATTGCTTGTCGACCTCCTCAATTCCTTCCTCCATAGGCAGCAGATCATCCAGAATTCTGCAGCCCATGTCCTCTCCCGCATTTGGCTCCATGACCCTATCAACCCCATCCTTGCCCAACTCCTCTGGCTTCCCATCATACAGAGGATAGAGTTCAAGATCCTAGTGCTCGCCTTCAAAGCCCACCACGGTCTTGCTCCCCCCTACCTCTCCAACTTCCTAACTCCCTTCCATCCTGGTCACTTCCTCCGCTCAGTGGGCTCCGGCCTGCTTCACATCCCCCGCCTTGCTCGCCTCATTATTGGCAGATGGGCCTTCCGCCACTCTGCCCCAACCCTCTGGAAATCCATCCCACAATCCCTCCATCTTGCCCCCTCCCTCACCACCGTCAAGACCAACCTCAAAACTCTCCTTTTTGACCATGGTTTTGATCTCCCTGCTTTCCCCCTGCCCCCCACCCTCCCCCCACACTCCGGCCCCCAGCTCGGGTCGGTAACTCTGTCTGTCCAGTGCCTTGGGACGTCCTCTTGATGTGAAAGGCGCTATACAAATGTAATTTTGTTGTTGTTGTTGTTGAATATCACGCATTACTAATCATTGTTGTAATGATTCTCACAACGCAGGTGTATCAGGTGTACTTTATTATCAGCCCCAAACACCACCCATAAACCTAATCAATTATTCTCCCACACTCCCTTTTTATACTTCCTGGTGTTGTTTCACTGTTCCCAGTCAATCGTCTATTTCCTCTTAAAGGATTAACAACAATTACATTGAATTATTTCCTTTTAAATAACATATGTTTGATAAATACAGCATACTTTAAATATTTTCCACATAACCATTTCTTTTGGCTTTATTTATTATCCCTTCAAAACAAACAAAAAAATTGGTCATTTTCAATTGACTGTTTGTGGCACACGGCTGTGTGCAATTGGTTGCTGCGTATCGCCCACAAATATACAGTCAATTCACTTTACAGTCTATTCTGTGAAGCGCTTTGAGACATCTAGAAGACGTGAAAAGCGCTATATCAAATGCAAGGATTATTATTATTATTATTATTAAGGCATTAAATGTGGTTGCTTCCCTATTAAGGCAGTTACGGACCGTCGGCCTTTGTTTGGAAGAAAAGTGGAGAAATCTCCTTGTGTCCTGGTTAATATTCTTCCTTCATCCAAGATTTTCCAAATACAGATTACATTTGGTTAATGCTGTTCATGAAATGTTGTAGGAAAGGATTAATTTGTATGTTTTCCCACATTCTTTCAATAGTTAGATTTCAAATGAACAATAAAGACTATATCAAATTCAAGAATTATTATTGTTTTAAATTCTAAAAGTCCTTTGTTGAAATACTTATATTGTCATTTCTTACCATCTGAAACCTTTTGAACCCACTTAACCCTTAACTAATGATAATGTTTTTGGGGGTCAGCCGGGTATCTGACACATTCAGAAACCCATCCCCATGCTTAAGAGTATCTAAACCAAACTGAGAATTCCATGCATCCCACCTACACATGGAAATTCCAGAGATAAACTGTTGGAATAGAATGCGCACTACTTACCTGGAGAGACATATCTTGTTTACCTAATCCTGGAAAGTATTAGTCACAGGTTGGCAAGAGGACCCCAGGGGAGGCTTAGGGACCCCAGAGTTTGTCGGGGGTACTGCTGGAGTCTAACCATCTAAAACTGCATAGATTGCCATTGCTAGCACTGTCTGGCAAGCTTTTCCACTACCCATTAGGACCTTGTCTTGCAGGATTAACAGGAGATGAGTAGGAGGATTCCCTGTCCCCAGTGACTAGTCTTCCCTTCAAGTTCTGCCAATTAGCCAGGCTGACTGCACTGTCATCAGCAGTGCCCTGGAATACTGTGGAGCAGCCTGGCTCAGGAGATGGACTACCCAGACCGCCACAGAGGGCTGGCTTTTCATGTTCATAACATGACATTCTGTTGCCAAACATGTCAACTTGGAGCCAGTTCAGCAGCAAAGAGATCCCGTTTACCTCCCCCCAAGGAGGATAGTTCGCCCACAAATATACAGTCAATTCACTTTACAGTGTGTTCTGTGAAGCGCTTTGGGACATCCTCCCGACGTGAAAAGCGCTATATCAAATGCAAGGATTATTATTATTATTATTATAGTCACAAGCTGCTCGTTTGACATCCGACAAGCACAGGATTGAGCCCTCACTTGGTGGATGGTCAGTACCAGGAATTCCATGGGAGCTTCCCGGTGGGATCTATATTTCTGGTGAGTTAACTATGTTGATAATGTTATCAACAGAGATAATTCATAGGACTTTGCACTTTGTGGATACTTTGGAACCAATAAAACAATGATTACAGCATCAGAAGCATGATTTAATGAGAGTATAAATTTGTTCTCACTTTATTTGCAGAAAACATTGCTATTGACTTCCACATACTGAATGAAGCTTTGGGGTATTAATAATGCTGCCCAAACCCTTCAACTTGGTCCTGAAATGTCTTCTATTCAGTTGTGTTATAAAGTGTTTCAGTGGAGAATTAGCACGTAATGGATACAAAGACCTAATTATCGCTATTAATCCTGGCGTTCCTGAAAATCCGAAAATTATTGAAAATATCAAGGTAAGAAATTGCTTGAATTCTCATATAAAACAATACTGCTGTTTTGTGGATTTGCACGAGTGAGTTTTAAATCTGTGGTTTCCTTCAGCAAATGGTGACAGAAGCTTCAGTCTACCTCTTCGATGCTACCTACCGGCGAGCTTATTTTTCTGATGTGAAGATTCTGTTACCAATAACATGGCCACCAGATATCAAGTACGAAATTCCAACGCTCGAGACCTATGAGAAGGTAAGAAATGAAAGACTTTAAATGTCATATTTTCTTAAGAGTTTCCTAATTCAGTGGACTGTGCTTGTAAGAATATCCACCAGTAGATTTTAAAAAGATTGATATACAGCTCCAGCTATGCTCAATTTTAGTTTCTCAGTTCTTAGTGTTACTTTAACAGTAGTTAACAATCATTCCCCATTTCCTTTATGTTTCCCATTTCATATTTTTTGTTCCATGTACAGTATTGAGCAATAGATTAATACAGTGATTTGCTTTTTAAAACAGTTTAGCAATGTATTGACTTGACATTCACGTCTCACATTTCCCTTAAGTAGGTTTCGTTGTTTCAAACAAGTTATTGTAAGTAACACAGAATATTTAAACTATATATACTGTACTTTAGCAACTGACAATATAGGTTAACAATGTCATTTTACCATCATCACACATTAGTTCACAACCTCAAAGTCGCAACCCTCAGCAGCAGATGAAATAACTGAAAGCCTTGAGATTTTCATTTTCATTTTCTGTTTTTAGCTGATAATTCTTGTTTTGTTTTCCCTTATATTTCCCATTTCATATTTTTTTACTTCCTTCTTCATTATTTCTTCGTGTTTTTTGCATGTGTGTTGATACCAAAGGCAATACATTTCTATCAACCCAAGATTTTTTCCTGGAATTATATTGGCGCTCTAAGCAGAGTATTCCACCGCTTGATGTGTGTATGCTGTGATTGGCTTTGAGAAGGAAACTTGCAATTTTCTTTCAATAGGCTTCTGTGATCATCGCTGACCCGCACGTGAAGTATGGAGACGACCCATACACTTTGCAGTACGGTGGATGTGGTGAGAAGGGACGATACATTCACCTCACCCCAAACTTCATGATGCATGATATGGTTGCTCTTTACGGTCCAAGAAGTAAGATTTAAATCATTGTTAGTTGTTGTTAGTTTTGAATGTGACAATGTATCTACTGATTCAGTGAGGTAATTCTTCTGCTCCCATGCTCGCAGCCCAATAAACCATTTTAGTTATTTCTACATTTTTTTGCACTCCTGCAGTAGAAGACATAAAGTAGGTTTTGGGAGTGGGTTTTAAAGAGAAAGTCTATTCTGTAAAACTTTCAAATAATCCTGAATACTAAAAAAAACATTTTGTGTTTAATTCTTTTGCTCTACCCTACCTAGCGTAAGTGCTTTAAAATATATATGCGGCTATATTGCTAAACTTGTTTCAATTAGAAACTAAATGCCTCAAAAATAATCCTGGACTACTGCTTATCAGACAAGTCATGCCGACGTTTTCATTGAATCCATTACAGATGTAGTTGTGCATTGATACTGCTATTGACATTATTCCCCCATAACATAACAATAACGTCACTTGCTAGTAAATGAAAATTGATATTTTTGCAAAAAAGTATTTCAAACTCCACATCATTCACAACTGAACATGTGTAAATGAAAGAATTTGTACCAATTCTCAAACATTTCTGAAAAGTCCACTGGAAATCAATGGTGCACTTTTCATATTGTTTAAAAAGGCAAACATTTGTTCCTCTCTTTTATTGTCTATAAGGAATGTTTCTGTTTGAACAGGTAGAGTATTTGTCCATGAGTGGGCTCACCTCCAATGGGGAGTATTTGATGAATATAACGATCTTGAGCCTTTTTACATTTCTCAGAATAGTACCTTAGAGGCAACAAGGTAAGACACTTTACAATTGTGAGCACATGTTTTAATTCAGCAGATGTAATTTGTTGTAATTTCTGAACATATCTTTGACTCCCATATCGAAATTCAGTGATAGAATTTAGGAAAAAAATGAAACTGGGTAATATATTAAACATAAAATATTTCAATTGACTTTTTAGGGGCAAATAGGGCCAAGATTGGAAAAGATAGGTTAGGATAGATTAGGTAGAAAACAAGTAAAATTAAACTTTAAAAAGAAGGATGGAGAAATAGGGACGAAGGACAACAATCAGAATTTTAAGTCTATGACTTTTTATTTTCGATTAAATTGTGCTTCATGTGTTTTCTTTAGTTTTACAGTGTTTAACTCTGCCCTCCACTAGCTGCAGTTTGCTTGGAAATCTGCAGCTTGTAACCTCTCCCGCACCAAGTTCATGAGCCATCCTTACCTGGCTTCACTGAATCCCCATCCCCCAGAGGATTGAGTTTAAGATCCTCGTTTTCATTGTTAAAGCCCTCCACTGTCTTGCTCTTCCCTATCTCTGTGACCTCTTCAACCCTTACCAAAATGCATGCTCCCTCTGCTCGGCGAGCACTGGCCTGCTCCATGTCCCCCCCACTGCCCATACCACCATTGGTAATAGTGACTTCAGCCTTTCTGCCCCCACTCTCTGGAACTCCATCCTGGAGTCCCTTTTGCGTCACCCCTTCCTTTGCTTCTTTTAAGGCAAAGTCTCAAGACCTTCCTCTTTGACTTTGCCTTTGGGATGTCCTCCTGACATGAAAAATGCTATACAAATGTAATGTGTTGTTGTTCTTGGTCATCCTCCTCCCACACCCCAAACCCTCCACCCCTCTTGATTCCAACCCCCAGCCGGGTGCAAACCCTTGACTGTCATTTTTGTCTTTCACTTTGGGATGTCCTATGAGTGCACTTGGTTGTTGATATATAATAGTGATATATAATATATAATAGTGATAATGCTACTCCTGATGTTCAGCAGCTTGGTTGCTGTGATAGTGTTTCTTGAAGCCACTATGACGACATTCTTTAAGTTTTGTTTAAGATTTTTTTCTAGCCATGATCTGGTGAGGAATGACGAAATCCAAACTAGGCCACAAACATGTTTTGATCATGTGCTTATGAAACAATTCTACACTGTAATTCCTTTTTTTTCACTACTTAGATGTTCAGAAGACATAAAAGGGAAGATTTGCAAAGGGAGTGGCTGTTCCAGTTGTATAATTGATACAAACACAGGGCTGCCCGAGCCAGATTGTGCATTCTTTCCAGACAAGAAACAAAGTGGATCAGCTTCCATAATGTACCTGCAAGGACTGCCAGATGTAAGTGGGGCAACTGGAAAGTGATTTTGTGACAAGGTGTCTTCATAATCAAGTCAGCATTTTTGCTTTACTGATTCACTATCTTTATGAGTGTTTGGCAATCTTATCATTCATCAACATAAGCAGCAAATGCATCAATCAGCAACTGCACTTGCCCCCTTGTTAATAGAGGTGAATCACTATTCATTCCTCCCTTGCAAAGGAAATCAAACTTGGCAAATGATTTTGTTGCAGATACTGGGTTATTCTCCATTCCTCCTCCCGCCTCCCCAGCCCAGATGTGCCAGGCTAACTGTTGCACCACAAACATTGCCATGGCTGAGATCCGCAAACTCAGCAAATAGCGTTCATTGAATTTGGGACTTTTCAGGGTTAGATTTGCTGAGATTCACTCTGGGCAGTGACCTTACTAACTACTATAGGAAGATCTCCAAAAATACTGTTAATCAACTATTCCAGTTATTATCACATCTGAAAGTGGTTTTGTCTTAAATAATTCACATATTTGAGAATTATATATGCAGCCTTAGTAAGCTGCTGTGTTCATATGATGGTTAGATCCATCATTGATATCAAATGTGAATAATTTCATATATGTTGTCTTGATTTTTTTCTTCTATAATTTATATGCTTTAATTTAAGATGAAAATAACTCTTGTAAGTGAATGATCCCCACCCCCAACTCGAGTTCAAAACCCTGACCAGTCCAGTGCCTTGGGACATCCTCCCAACTTGAAAGACCCCATACAAATGTAATTTGTTGTTGTAGTTGTAGAGCTGTCGAGTGTGTATTGATTATTTTTTGTATTTGTAAAACTCTTCCTCCAGCATTCTTAAGGAGACCTGCTTTTCACTTGTGTTGCCCTCAGTCCTGTTGGTCATTTCATGCTTTACCTCATCGTACGTTCATTTTTCAGGTGGTGCATTTTTGTAACAATGAGACTCACAATTCTGACGCACCAAACATGCAAAACAGAATGTGTGAAAGCAGGAGTACGTGGGATGTAATCATCAACTCAGAAGATATGAAAAACAAACTTCCAGCCAATCCTTCAGTCTCACCAAATAAACCAAGCTTTACATTGCTGCAAGCCAAAGACCGAGTGCTATGTTTAGTCCTTGATGTTTCTGGAAGCATGGCTTCGGTATGCTTTTCTTAATATATGACAAAGACACAAATTTCTTCCGTGGTTTCTAAATCGGGGGATAACGCCAAACTGTGTGTATGGTAAATAATGAAGAGGAAAGCAAAAAAAAGGAAGATATAAATAGGCTTGCAGTATGAGCAAATATGTGGCAGATGAAATTTAATGTAGAAAAATGTGAAGTGATTTCTTCAATTCTCTCTCTGCTGAATTTCTTATTCCAGTTCATCAGTCAATCAACTTCAAGATCATCACTCTAACTTTCAAATCCCTTCACGGTCTCACCCACCTTAGCTCTGCAATCTCCTCCAGCCCCATTCTCCTACCCTTACCTTCATCTCACTCTGGCCTATTGTTTGTTCCTCACTCCTTCTGTCCTTTCACTGATGGCCAAGCTTTCAACCACCCCACCACAGCTCTCTGGAACTGTCTCCAGAAACCTTGATACCTAGTCATTCTCCCTGTCTTCTAAACCTAATTAATAACACATGTCTTTCACCCTGCCTTTGGTCAAAAACTTTGAACTGCCCCTCTCACACTCTCTGCTCATTGTCTACATGGAAAGCACTTGGGTATATAAGTAGAAATAGTTTCTGAAGAGGTTTTTAGCTTACAGGGTTTAAAAATATCACATGGTTGATTATTAAGAAGGTTACATTTTACCTAGACTTGTATTCTTTCTGTAAACAGGAAAATCGTCTTGACAGATTACGCCAAGCAGCTGAGATATTCTTGAGGCAGATCATTGAAATGGGATCACATGTTGGCATTGTTACCTTTGAGTCTGCAGGACACATCAAGAAGCATTTGACAATAATTGAAAACAATTCAGTAAGGGACGACCTCGTAGCAGCTCTACCTACAGGAACTAATGGTGGAACAAATGTCTGTGCAGGTGTTGATATTGCATTTCAAGTACGTCCACAAAGTTTAACTCTCTTTCTAAAAATCTTCGCCTCGCTGTAATCATCATGCATATTTCTAACTCTGATAATAAATGTTTGCTCTGCAGGTACTCAATAAAGCTGTTCATGGGACAAAAGGTGCTGAAGTAGTTTTGTTGACAGATGGCGAGGATAATAAAATACGTAATTGCTTTGTTAAAGTGAAGAATAGTGGTGCTGTTATCCATACTATAGCGCTGGGACCAAGTGCAGCTAAAGAACTGGAAACACTCTCTACCATGACAGGCAAGTCACATTAATATATCTATGAAGATAAATAGTTTACAGATAAAATGTGTTTCTCAGTGACTGAGATCTATAAATTGAATTTAATGGACATTGGAACAACATTGTGTATACTTCATATTCATTTATGATCAAAATATATATATATTTGGTGACTGATGCCACAGTTTACTACAGATTCCAATAATAATTCTCATTGAATTATTGAAGTGTATTCAAAGGATAATTAGAAAGTTTTAATTTTTAGTTTTCATCTATGAACAATTCACTTCCCCATTGGAGACTGATGTTGACTTGAATGATTAGGGTATGGATAACAAGCATGCCATTATACAGTACTTAGCAATATCCAGATAAGTATCTACAGTGTTTGAAAGCAGTGTTGGAAAATAAGTACAATCAAACGAGCTAATATTGTTCAGGATGGAATGATTTCCTTATTCATATGTCTGGTGCAGGGGACAGAAATGTGGTTAGTGGGAGTAGGTTTTGCATGGTTATGAGGGAGTACTCTACTCTTTTTTAAATAAACTAATTTATCTTTATTACCAGTTGAATCTTCATTGATTGGAATTCTAAATTCATAAAATGTATGATTTTCAGTTTGCGCTGTCCACCACTGCTGTCTGTGTTAAATACAATTTATCTGCTGACATTCCTTCTCTTCCTTTAGGAGGCTTGCAGTTTTCAGCCACTGATAATTTGGAGGTAAACGGATTAATTGACACTTTCACTGGATTAGTGTCAGGAAATGGTGATCTTACACAACAAGCCATCCAGGTTTGATTATCTTAAAAGCATTTTTTTCCATTTTTTTCATGTATAACGGATGTTGTACAGTAAAATAATATGTATCTCCCTTGGTTACAGCTTGAAAGTACTGGAAAGACTGTTAATGGCAAAGGTTGGTTTAACGGTACAGTCTTCATCGACCAGACTGTTGGGAATGACACTTTTTTTGTCATTACATGGGTTACAACAACAATACCTGCTATCTTTGTACATGATCCTAATGGAAAGATTTACGAAACAGGGACTTCAAAATAAATGATGTCTTACGTACGGCTCGGCTTCAAATTAACGGCACTGCACAGGTGTGATTTAAAATAAATACTTAATTTTGTTTACACAGATTACTTAGATCAAACTGTCACTTTTAGATTTATTTTAGTGAACTTCCAAGTAGAAAATCAATTCTCTAAAACAATGAGAACCAAAGTTCATTGTAAGTACACCCAGCAGGACATAACTTCCTCCCCCTCCTGCCAATCCTCCCCCCTCCACATCTAACCTCATGGCTTTAATGGTTGGGTAATAGTTTGCACAAGTCAAATGGAAACAGATGACAATTGGGACATGGCTGTTTGACACTGGCTGTTGCTTTTGCCTCAGTCATTACATAGTACAGTCAATTCTGTGAAGCTAAGTGAGATGCGCTGCCCAAGTGAAATGCAAGAATTATTTATTATTATTAAACATGGAATATTTATTTTCCAGCCAGGAGCTTGGAACTACAATATCCAAAATGAAAACTCAGGTTCCCAGGTTATAACCATCACAGCGACATCACGAGCAGCAGATCCGAAAGTTCCCCCGGTTATTGTGTATGCATATATGAGTAAAAAAGATACTTCTTTACCTGGCCCAATGACAGTCTATGCGGAAGTCAGTCACGGATTTTTACCGGTCCTGTTTGCAAATGTGACAGCTGTTGTAGAACGACCAAGTGGTGACCCTGTTAACCTTGACCTACTTGACAATGGATCAGGTACTGTACATACATTTGCTTTATTGACTATACGTGAAATAGAAAATATTGTGCACTTCTGTTGTGCATCAGAAATTAAAAGGAAATTTTAACTTTGTTGTACAAAAAATAACTTTCAGTGATAATTAAGAAAGCTTTTATGCGTAGATTACTCTCAGAATTACCACACTTTTCTGAAATAAATGTTTCGCGCAACCATTGCCCATCTTCCAAAATAATAATTACCATTAAAAATGTATAATGTATATATATTCCATAATATAAATATGCAGTCTGGTGCAGTGGTAGCACTCTCGCCTCTGAAGGTTGTAGGTTTAAGCCCCACACCAGGACTTGGAATCACATAGTCTAAGCAAACACTGTGGGTATATTACATTGTCGGAGGTGCCGTCCTTCGGATGAAACATTAAACCAAGCTTTCTCCGGGTGTCTCAGCCAACAATCCCCCAATTAAAATTTGTCACATACTCCATGGCTGTTTGTGAGCCATCGCTGTGCACAAACTGGCTGCTTCATTTGCCCAGAAAATATACAGTATTACACTATATCAGTATCTCATGTAATGCGCTTTGAGACATCTTGATGATGTGATAAGGCACTATACCAAATGCGAAGGTTATTGTGATCAGTTCCAAAGCTAGATATTTCATATTAATTATTTACAAAGCTCTCCTCTTAGCTAAAGGTATTTGCTGGAAAATTGTTGAATCTATTTTTGAGAATTAAAAGGTGAAACCAAATCCCAAATAAATGTCCATTTGAAGTTAACAGATGGTCTGATCTTTACACATATGCATTTTACTCAACTGGGTGATTGTTATTAGGGCCATCCATAATAATCATGTTCTTGTATAAAATTACAGTCAATGTTACTTTGTGTTATCCTCCTTTATTCTTTAGAGTATAGAAAAGCTAAATGAAATTGATCATTGTTGCTTTTAAATCAAAAGGCTTTGTACGAGGGAGCAAGAAGTTCATTTTGCAAACTTTGATTGAAATATTTTATTTTCAGTTTTTAGGACTTCTTATTTTTAGGAATTTTAAACGTTTTCTCAGATAACTGCCTACAAATAGAGTGCAAACGTAATAAACCACAATTTGTGATTCCTGGTCAAATCTGAATCAACTTTCAAAGCCAAACAGCAACATAGTTACTAATTTGCATATTGAAATTCTAATAATTTTTTTGGAACAAATTTGTTTTAATAGATGATAGAAAGAGTGAAATCCAATTGGTTCTTGTTACATGTATCTTCAGTCAGTTCGAGTCCTTGGAAATCTTAGTTGCCACAAAAGGGTCTGATGGCCACAAGTGCCACTTAACAGGACAGCAAACCATAAATGAAGCGAGCAGATGTTGTAACAACAGACATAATAAATATGTTGGACAAACAGAGGCTCAGGAAAACCCATTAACATTTACAGAAATTCAGAGAATTTTTAAAAGGTGAATTGTAAGATTTGAAATTAAATCTTCCCCTGAATGTTTTGCTCCACATCTCACTATCAGTTGAATGGGGACATTTTAATATAATAATCCTTGCATTTGATATACACTGTAAGCACTAGCAACTGATCTGTGGAATAAGTTATCATTCTGTATATTTTTTAATTCCTTTTTTCCTTATCTTTAGGTGCTGATATCATCAGCCATGATGGTATTTACTCTCGGTATTTCACAAACTTTAGTGGAACTGGGAGATACAACCTTAAAGTTCACGTACAAGGAAAAGAGGGAACTATGAAGATAGCGATGAGAAGAGGCAGTTATGCCATGTACATACCAGGATATATAGAAAATGGTACTAAACATTGATCGAGTGACTAGTTATTTGTGGTTGATGACTTATCCCAAGGGAGAGTTATTAGAGTTTCACTGTAGTTTGAATTGATGAGTGGAACTTTTTAACTGTGTAATATTGTGTTGTCTGTATCTGAAAGATGAATTCTGTTTTGTGTAGGCGAAATTCATGCAAATCCAACAAAACCTCCAGTTGGTGAGGGAGATCTTCAGCCTCAGATAGGAAGCTTCAGCAGAGCCAAATCAGGGGGAGCAATTTCACTCTCTGGAAATGCTGGAGGACCAATCGACTTTCCGCCTTGTAAAATTACAGACCTCAAAGCAAAATTTGTTGAGGATGAAATTCATCTAGAATGGACAGCCCCAGGAGATAACTTGGATCAAGGAGCAGGTAATTGTTTCTGAACTCCAGTTACTGTAATATACATTTTCTTTCAAGGAATGAAGTGAAGAGATAAATTTTCTACTCATTGTGTGATAAATACTAGGGTGATTTCTCACAAAGGCAAAGCAAGGAAAGAAGATTGGAGAATAATCAATCTATACTGATCCTGTCCAAATTCTAGTAGTTGGTTCAAGTATGATATTGGCAGAAACATGGGCATTGCTGATATGTTACTCTCTCATGAAACAAACTTAAATGGGAAAGAAAATAACACATAGAAATATTTAATTCCAAATTTAGCTCAAAGTATTTTAAAGAGCCCCACACATCATAAACATATGTCCAGCAAATCTTTTAGCAACTCCATGGCCATATGCTCATGGAGTGTATGAATGTTGTAAAAAATATATTCTGCAATTAAACCAAAATTGCAAGGCACCGTTACGACGAATGTGTTTACAGCAATGAACTTATAGCGCGAGCAGTAGAGCGACAGTATTTGTCATCCAAATTTGCTCATTTTTACTTTTAAAGGACAACTCAAAAGTATAATTTTGCCATAAAACTTGTAAAAGCTTACGATACTTCCAATCACTTAATATTCTGCATCTTATTTTTAGCATTCAGGTATGAGTTGAGGATGAGTTACAGCCTGTCAGAGCTACGGGATCAGTTTTCAAGTGCCATTGAGGTTGATTTATCCCGGTTACGTCCACATCCTTATGGCAACACTGAAGTAATTCAATTTACTCCTAGGAATATAGAAATACAAAATCAGACAACTCTCTACTTTGGTATCGTTACACATGGTAATAGCAAACAACCATCTGAATTGTCAAATCTAGCACGAGCTTCTTTAATTTTGCCTTTCGCACCTCCTGTGCCTCCTGTGCCTCCTGTGCTTCCTGGAGATCCAATTGAGTACCCTCATGGTGTTAACATAGCAGGAATTATGTTGATTGTAGCGGGTGCTGTAATTCTAGTTTGTCTGATTGCTGGAGTTTCTGCATGTTCTATGAAAAGAAGGAGTCAGAAAAGAATATCTCCAAATGAAGAAATAATGTAAAGAATTGATGCACAAAATCATGGAATCATAGAATTATACAGCACAGAAGGAGGCCATTTGGCCCATTGTGTTTGTGCCAGCTCTTTGAAAAGAGCTATCCAAATTCAAGCCAACTCCTCCACTCTCTTCCCATAACCCTGCAAATTTGTCCTCCCCATAATGCTGACATAGTGCAAATAATGAAACAGAATGCATTTAATGAAGTGAAAACCATATAATTAAGCTGTACAGATAGCCGCTGATCAAAGACGGAATCAAGGTCAAAGAGAAAATAACCATGATCCAACTCGACTGTTCAGTGTCTTGGGACGTTCTTCTGACATAAAAGGCACTATATAGATGCAATTTGTTTTATTAGCCGTTCACGCTTCAAACACATAACCAACTTACCCTCTCCCTATACGTATATGAATATCATATGTAGTAATTTTTCACAATAAATAAGGCACCTTATAAAAAAGTATTGGTTTCATGACTTCTTATTGTGTACTTATAATATGCTAATAAAACAATATAATGATCAGCAGATTACATTGGTGTTTGTTTAATTTATACCATCTTGTTAACTTTTCAAACTGCATAATAACATTATACACTCCAGGATTAAACTTAGCATTCAAACCCAGAACCTTTATTTTACAATAAAATGAATTACATTTTCTTCTCCTGAGAAAACATGTATCAGTCCGGCTCAGTTGGTAGCACTCTTGTCTCTGAGTCAGAAAGTTGTAGGTTCAAGCTCTATGTCAGGACTTTGAAATCACATAGTGGAGGCTGGCAGACTAATGCAGTGCTTGGAGGAATGCTAAGGGTTCACTTCATTGTTGGAGGTGCCGTACTTCAGATGAGATGTTAAACCAAATCCTACCTGCCTATTCAGGTGGACATTAAATATCCCATCTCACTATTTGAAAAGAGAAGGGAGTTTTTCCCAGTATCCTGACCAACAATCCCCTAGATATGATAAGGCATTCACTTTGTAGCTGTTTGTGGTCACTTACCTGAATTCCTGAAGTCACTGTGATCATCAAAACTGTGACAATTAATTTAAAAGAAAATGCTGCTCAATAATTAGAGAACCAAATAAACATTGAGATGAATGAGAATTCAGACTATTGCTTAAGAGGGGAAAAGATTCTGTCCTGTGTTTAGTTAACCACTACTTTATTTTCCCTGGAAACATAGGAATTGGTTTCAACCTGTGGTCCAATTCAGTTTGAACATCTTTTGTTCACTTGCAAATAAAATAGTTTAAGTTGGCCTTGTTTCCATTGTCGCAAAAGAAAACACTTGCTAAAGAGAACTCATGAACATTGCCAAAGTTTACTTTAATTTTCTAGAATGAACAGTGAAGCACACTCAGGATAGCTTTAACCAACTGAATTCATTTTTTTAATAAAACAAATCCCTTTCTCCCTATTGCATTGAATTATTAATCTTCCTTTAAGTTAATTGATCGGAGATTAATAAAATGTGTTCAGAAGAAAGGAGAGGTTAAAATTAAAACACAGTTCACAAAAGTAAGCCTAAACTCAGAAAATGCAAAAAGAATTTGGACTGCCTGCTAATTTAATGGAATCTATTACCTGTATTTCCAGGGGGAAAGGGGAACAGCTGATTTTGTGTACTGATGTTTGCTTACTGGAAACATTTTATGCAAACCAGTAACAGTAATACATTTTATCACAGCACCTTGTTTCTACTGACATTAGGATGGGGCATGCTTGATTTTCAGGCATTTCAACAATTTGCCAGGTTAGAATCATAGAATTATAGAATTGCGGCACAGAAGGCCATTGAGTCTGCACAGGCTCAAGCGGTCTTGGTTATGGACAGAATGGTAGAATTTAACTGTCCTTTAGTATCAAAAACATACTTCTGGCTTAATATATCTAAATGCTTTTCCTTCGTTTAACTGTCAGCTAATGTGCAGGGAGTTCTGTATGTTGTGCTAAATTAAAAGTATTTGTTTTGTACCAAGTTATACTTTATAGTTAATCTATACAGCAACACATCATAACCCTGCTGCTCCAGAGTTAAAGTGCTTTCATCTGCAGTGAAACTAAACTGGACTTCTGGTCGGAAAGATGCTCATGCATAATAAAGATGACTCAATAATTTGCTATGGATATAGAACTTTCTGTGGTGTCTCGAGATGTACTGGAACCACAAACTGAGTCATGAGTTTGTGATAATGATCTAAACAATGAGTGAATGAGGGCACACCCTGAAGATGAGAAACAGAGGCACTTGTAGAAGTGAGAGGTAAGCAAAGGAATAACAGTGACACCTATTCGTTGCACACAGAAACTGCAGGTTTTTCACTTCGGAGATGAAAATATGAAAAGGGATGAAAAAGCACCACCTCCAGGCAGCATGTAGACCACCAACTACTGAGGCATTAAATCAAATGATTTAAAAAGGTGAATCTGCCTGATCACCAAAATTGCCATATTCTTTCATGCTTCACAGAAATTGTTGATTTTTTTAATCTGCTCGTAATTGAAGCTTTTTAGTGTTTCAGTTTCTGAAAACATAATATCTCATATCAAACTAAAGTGACTGAGTTAATGACTAGCACTTTGGAGAATCTGAAGTGGCAGCAAGTTTAGGTTTCGTTTCTATGGACATTAACCTCAGGATGGCAGCTTTTTTTTAAGAGCTGGTGAGTTGGCTTCAATTAACTCAGCATTCTGATGTGAAATGAAAGCATTGTAATTCTGGGGTTATTTCCTGTAGCTAAACAGGAAGGAACAGTTTTAAAATGTATAATTAAGAGATTCAATCAATGTGCAGAGTGACATTAAGCACTTAGAGACTGGACGCAGCAGTTCGTATTAATCTCGGGGGCACATTCCACTGCTCTTCATGAGCAAAATAAATACTGTATATCAATCCAACAATTCTTTGATAACCTTCTCACAAAACGTTTGTCCAATTATAATGTAAAAAACTAAAAATATTTTGTATCATGGGGTATGAACGAGGAAAGAAGTGTTGAGTTGAACTGTCATGCTGTGATAGCCAAATTTCAATGAAACATAGTAACATAGAAGCACACTAATAGCTTTAGCAATTAATTTAATAGAAGTTGGCACTTCCATTAAAAAGAGGTGTGTGGGCAAACAGCATTTAGAATCATGTATCCAACGCAACATATATTGCAACACATTTGCACTCCTCGAACGGTGAACAGGAATACTTTCAGAAGATAAAAGCAATGAATAGTTCGCACTGTTTTTATAAATCTTGCAGAAGTGGGTGATAGTGGCGTGAGATTCTGAAACTCATTGCGCTGGCAGTGAATAAAATTAGCATTTATCAAATACAATAGTTACTAAATTGTGAAACGTGTGAGTTGAGAGCAGTCGTTCGCTCTTTCTCCTGTTGTCAGCATCAGTTGTGGTTTGCCGCATGAAGTGTAGCAACTTTCCCACTGCTGTCAACCTTTCTTACTTTTTTGCTCAATGTTTACTTTACAGGGCTATTTCTGCAGTCTCAGATCAAAAAAAAACTGCACCCACGCCTGTTTATCCAGTGACTGGGAAATATCGACAGTGGGGCAACTGTGGCAAAATAATTTATTTGGCCTGAACAGGATGGGCACTTCCAATTGCGAACACTTAAGCCACAGCACTTGGCAGTGGTGCCCTCCACCTTAGGTGTATGTTGCTTCTAATCTTGAGACTGCCATCAGCAAAAAATATATATTTTTTAAAAAGTTCCAAAAAGGTGTCTGCTTAAAGTTCACACATATTTTATTTGGGGTGTGGGGGTGGGTGGGAGGGGGGTGAGGGATGGGGATGGGGGAATGGGGGGGGGGCGATGGTGTGGGGGCGTATGGGGTGGGGTGGGGCTGATATGGTGGGGGGAGTGGCGGGATGGGTTGGGGGGATGGGGAGGTGGGGTGGGGGGAGTGGCGGGATGGGTTGGGGGGATGGGGAGGTGGGGTGGGGGGAGTGGCGGGATGGGTTGGGGGGATGGGGTGAGGGTGGGGGGATGGGATGGGGTGAAGGGAATGGGGTGGGGGATGGGATGGGGTGAAGGATGGGGAATGGGGTGGGGGGGTGGGGGGGGGATGGGTTATCTGGGGGGTGGGGGGGGAATGGGGTGGGCTGGGGTGGAGGATGGGATGGGGTGAGGGATGGAGGTGTGGGGAATGAAGGGGATGGGGTGTCTGGGGGGTGGGGGGAGGGAATGGTGGGGGGTTGGGGTGGGGGGAGGGAATGGTGGGGGTTGGGGTGGGGGGTGGGGAATGGTGGGGGTTGGGGTGGGGGGAGGGAATGGTGGGGGTTGGGGTGGGGGAGGGAATGGTGGGGGTTGGGGGTGGGGGGTGGGGAATGGTGGGGGTTGGGGTGGGGGGTGGGGAATGGTGGGGGTTGGGGTGGGGGAGGGAATGGTGGGGGAATGGGTGAAAAAAAAGGCCATTCTTCACCCAAAGCGCCTCGGCGTGAAGTGCCGGTGGCTGTGACGAGCGCGGCGCTGATTGGCTGGGGAGGGGGAGCTTCCGGGGCGGGAGCTTCCGGTGCGGGCCGGGGGTCGGGGCTCGAGCTCTGCTCTCTTCACTTCTTCCATGTCCGGGAACATGGACTTTAACGTGAAAAAACTCGCGGCCGATGCCGGCACTTTCCTCAGCCGCGCAGTTCAGGTAAAATGCGGGGGGTGGGGTGGGCGGAGTGTGAGGGGGGGGTTTACTGACTAACCGACCGGGACGTGTCGCCTCGCCCGCTCGGTGTGTGGGGGTGGGAGGGGAGAGAGAGAGAGAGAGAGGCCTTGCGGTGGCGGGTCGGGGCGGGTCGGGGACCCGGCGCCATCGCGAAACGAGGCCGTGGAGGGCCAAGGTTTGACGGGCAGGAAAGGCGGCGAGCAGTTCGGGCGGTTGGGCCTCGGGTTACGGCGGCCCGTCCGCCCGCCCGCCCGCCGGGAGGAAGGCGGTGTCGCAGCAACGGACGGGGGGATTCGGCCTTTGGGGTGACGGGTGGGGGGAGAGGTTCAAGTCGCGGCCTTTGCCTCTCTCGCGCTCTCTCTTTCTTTTCTTCTCCCCTCTTTGATGCCGATCAGCTGGCGGCCGGAGTCATGTGTTGTTCCGTGACAGCCGCTTCCTGACAGCCCCTCCCTCCCTCTCCCCCTCCCTCTCCCCCTCCTCCCCTCCCACTTCGAGAGGCCGAGCCGTGGAGTTTTCTGTCCGATCGCTCTCCAGCCAAGACGGCAGTGGATGTGCTGCAGCTGTCCTCGTTGCCCCCTGGGGCTGGGGCCCGGGGGTTGGGGATGTTCTCCGGGATTCCTGGTCCCTGATCCGACGCTCACAGACCCCCCCCGGGCTGGGTGTGGACTTCCGATGCGGATGCGCAAGTTCCAGCTCCGACTTACTTACTGTGTGTAGGGACTCTTTTGACAACTGACTCAATGCTCACACGTGAATAATAGTTGCAAGGAACTGAACGATTCTTGTGCAACTGGCTCAACAATTAAGTGATGCCTTCAGGGAGGGAGGGAGGGAGGGAGGGAGGAATCCTCTTAGCTGGCCTGCAACTTGCCTTTCCTACAGCTATTACTGTAATCTGGCTTCCAAGAGTTTTAAAAACAAAAATTGGAAAGGGACCGTATGTAAGTGCCTCCTTCAAGTCCTGCCTCAAGACCCTCCTCTTCGACCATGCCATCGGCCACCCTCCCCTTCCCCTCCCTTCTCCCCCCCACCCCAGCTCGGGTCTGAAATGCTATATTCTATCCAGCGCCAGTGGCATTCAAAGAGTCAAAAGAATGCTCAAGATATATTTGTAGTAATAATAGTAAATAATAATATAAATTGGAAGTTTTAGCAAGGCAAATTATATATTTGTGTACAGGCATGTATAACCATCTCATCTCTTTATATGTGCACGACCATAATAACTGAGGATATGATTAAACAGAACATCCCTTTAGTTGCATTGGATTTCAAATGGGATTATTTTATATTCCGGATACAATACACAATTACACATGTGTAGAATATGGACAGTGCTGTACAGTGAGGGATTTGTACTATTGGTTCCTACGAACTTCTAGTGGTAGATATCCTGCATTAGGCTTCCATAATGCACTATGAATGCATCCATTACATTCAGGTTGAAGGGTTAGACTTGCCTGTTACTGATTTATTTGAGCTTGTTGTAGTGATGCTGCTTCCTTGGGAGATGTAGACAAGAAGAGATGAGAATGATGTGTTGAGATTGTGATGTCTTGAAATGAACATTATTTTTCTAATGTTTAATTTGGAATCAATTTACACCTGTGTCATTTGACTGATTCAGTTTACAGAGGAGAAGTTTGGTCAAGCTGAAAAGACAGAGTTGGATGCACACCTCGAAAATCTACTCAGCAAAGGGGAAGACACCAAACAGTGGACTGAGAAAATAATGAAACAAACAGAAGTTTTGTTGCAGCCAAACCCAAGTAAGATTATATTTTGTATGTTGTGTGAGTATTTTTTGGGTACAGTAACATTTGTATTTTACTGAATTAACAGCAACTATGATTGGGAAGATACAGAAAAATTCACCTCTTTAAGTTGAAATGTATATTTGGGGCTTGATCCCACAATCTTCTGACCCAGTGGCAAAAGTGTTAGTGACTAATAATCAACAAATGAAACAGAGTAATACAACAGTAGTACTGTATATAGTATAATCATATCTAATAAAAATAATCATTTTATTTAATATAGCGCCTTATCGCGTCACTGAGATGTCTCAAAGCACTTCACAAGATATACTGTAAAGTGGATTGACTATTCTGTGTCCGAAACGCGGCAGCTTATTGCACAATCTCATGTTGATGTTTTGTATACCTGATAGTTTGTATCGACTCGGGAGTCCAAACTATAATTTCCTTGCTACTTTCAAACTCTGCACATGAATACCCGTCAAAATGATGCCTGGACTGTTGTGTCCATATTCTACACATGTGCAACAAATATTTTCCAGGAAGGCAATTACATTGCAGCTAAACAATTGTTGGTAAATCAGTGTGAATGCTTGTTAGTTTAATTCTGAAATTGTACAGTTGCTGCACATTCACTCAAGGCAAGTCTCACATAATTCTTAGTCGTGACTTGAGATTAAATGAAATATTTATACTGTGACCTTTCAGCTAAAGGAAGTTAAAGCAAGCCTTGTTAGGTCTTGTGATCTATTAGTGCATAATTGCTTAATCAAATTTATTTGCTTCTCCTTTCATGTGTAGATACTAGAATAGAAGAATATGTGTATGAGAAACTGGATCGAAAAGCACCGCCTCGAATGAATAACCATGAACTATTGGGACAGTATATGATTGATGCTGGAAATGATTTTGGTCCTGGAACCGCATATGGTAAGAAAATAAGAGCACTTAACTGGGAATAATAATATCTCTGGTGATATTGGATCCTCTTAAAGCAGTTTAGTGTCTCAAAGCAAGAAAGCCTTTGCCATATGAGAATTGCAATTTTTTGATTGTGGCTATTTTAAAAATGTGAATTTCATTTCAATCCTGTGAAAACCTTTGTTCTTTTTATGAGCACTGCCATAAAGCATCATTGTGCCTATGCAGCAACATTGTTTGTTACACCTTGCCAATGGAGAATGTCTTTAATTAGTACATGGCAAGGTAATGGCTCAAATTGCTGGGTATGTAATCTTTTTAACTAATACAAGGTCAGTGTAATTTTGCTTGGAAATAAACGCTTGCTGGGGAAACCTCCATTCTAATATCCAAACCGATACTTAAACATTTTGTAAAAAAGGCGATACATACCACTGTAATACTGTTGGATAATTTCAGGTGACATTCCACTGTCCAATTCAGTCCTGAATCAGTACAATTCTAGTTGGTACCGTGGTGAATTGTAGAGAAACATAAATCAGATTAAAAGCTGTCGAAGTTCTGCAAATAAAGTCTGATTTAATTTGACTATCTTTCTTTTGACAGGCAACTCTCTTATTAAATGCGGAGAAACTGAAAAGCGAATTGGTGTAGCAGAGAGAGAACTTGTACAAACATCAGCTATCAGCTTTTTGACGCCCCTTAGGAACTTCCTGGAGGGAGACTACAGAACAATTTCTGTAAGTAATTCCATAAAATAGTCTATCCAATGAACTACCTACAATTGTTGTATTCTGATGGAGATCCGAAAACAAATGAAGGGCAACCCTGCCCCAGACCCTACTGAGCCAAATCAAGCTACTATTCAAATGGTTGGGGGAACATTCAGACTTTTTCTCAAATCCATAACACTACCGATAGATTGTGGCGTCAACCTTTTGTCCTACCATTTGTTGTCATGTATCATCATAGAGCAGAGAAATGTCATCCTGAGCCCACAAAATACACAGTCAATCTACTTTACAATATATTCTGTGAAGAGCTTTAAGACGTCTCAACCCACTATATCAAATGCAAAGATTATTATTATTATGTTTGTCACTATTGAATTAAGTGATTGAGATCATACTTTCTGACAAGCCACTTGGTTGTTTAGCATCAGGTCTGATACCTGGGGTGTGAGTGAAAAACATTCTGGATGTCACTTTACCATTGCTGCTAACCGATAATATTATTTAATAAAGAATAGTATTAGTTATTGGAAGAAGTATATTGTGCTGTAACATCTTTGTACATTGGAGCATTTCAGTCATTAAGACTTTGAATTGTTAATAACTAATAGGTGAATGAACTAATGCTCAGAATTGAAATTTTTCAGAAAGAACGCAGGCTCCTGCAGATTAAAAGATTGGATTTAGATGCAGCAAAAGCAAGAGTGAAGAAGGCAAAGGTAGCAGATGCTCGATCAACAGTAAGTGAGGCACATTACAGCTGAACTTCATCCCATGTTGTTTGTTTGTATATTGAGTGCTTGATATGATCTTGAGGAATCAATGTTAAAGGGGAAATTAAAGAATAAATTTTGTTCCAAGTACTCTCTACATATGGAGGAAAAGCCATAATTAAGTAGTGCTATTTGGTATTTGATGTCCTGTTAAGTCCAAATCTTCTGGTTCTAATACAAGGAACTGCACCAAGTTGTATCGTCGTAACACTGAAGTGGCCTTATGCAGGACACGACTCCCAGGAGTGGCAATAAATTCTAGCTGAGGTGTGGGATGCAATAAATTGGAAACTGCAGTCTGTGAAGGTGAACTTTGGAACACTGAAGCTTTGTGTTCTGGGATGAATCTCACTTCATTCATGTCTTGATGTGGCGCTTGCTCCCCGAAGGAGGAATATCATGACTGGACAGTCCACTAGTGCCTTTTAAGCACTCTGAGACGCTACCCTACTTGGAGGGTAGTTGCGCAAGTTGTTATTGTTGCCTCTTGACAATTGGTTACAGGGGATATGGTGACAATCTTTACTCAAATCATCTGCCTGTTCCTTAGTGACAGAGGTATCTTGTCATGAGACGGATGAAGATGGGAATTAATCATAGGGAAGTTGCAAAAAGAGAAAAATCATATTTCTTCAAAGCTTTCATTAAGCAAAGAGTGTGTTTCATTGCATGGAGATTGTTTGTTAAACTACACATCTATCAATTAAAAGGCACCAATTTGCACTTCATTAACCTGATACTTTGTAGTGGGGTGAGGGAAGTCACTACGGTACATTTAATATTAATACAGTAGTTTACATTGATGAAATCTTGACCTCAACTGTGCTATTGTGGATAATTGTGAATATTGTGTGCAATATGGCCCATTGTGGACTAGATCTGTATTTCTCGACAAGGTCTGGAAGTTGACTTCATTCTGCTTTCTTGGTCTCAATGAATGGGTCAAAAAGAATTTATACTGATACCAGAAACTTCATTGGATGATGTAGAAGAATTGTTCAACCGCAGCAATTTACATTGTACAATGCCTTTGTTGGAATTGTTTTGTAAATCTACAGGGAGTGTTTATTTGTGATGTTAAGAATATTGAATGCTTCCTGGATTGATATCCCATAAAAGAGATGCTGAAAGTAGGCACAGCATATGCAAAGCAGCATATCTAGAATATCTATACACTTTATTTGAGGCCTTTGGTTCCATTGCTGATCAATGCATACTGTAAATTATACAGTCTGTTGGTATTCAGCTTTAAAGTTAACTTATTATGTTTTTTNCTTCAAATTTGTCTAATAAAAATGTCTTGTCCTTGTCTACTTTATCTGAATGCTTTAGCAACTAAACACTTCTCAAGTTGAAGGAGACAGCTTTATGGTAAATTTCTCTTACATGCTCAACTTGCTGCATGTAAAATGGCTGAAGGTTTGTTGGCCTTGTGTGTTCTCTTTTTATACTTGAATGCTTACTCTTGCTATTACAGTTAGGTGTTTCTCCCAAGACAAGTTTATACTTGTTACCTTAAGTAAACTGCTTAAACAAAGCAGCTAATTGCAAAAGCAGAACATTGAACATAACTTATCTTGATTTCTTTTGCCCTTCCTCTGGACTTGATACTGTAATTTAACTTTTCTGTCTGGCTTTCTATTAGGGAAGAGATTATGTATATGTGGTTGCAGAAAATATACATCAATTATAGAATGGCTCTTTATAATGCCCCAGGTAATGGAATATGCTAAAATAGAGAGTTTAAGCTAAATATTCACTGCATGGTGAACTAGACTTTGGTGTTGAGCCAATTTTTAACAAGTGTTTTAGGAGATGGTGGAAAAACAAGCTGCATAAAATCTCTGATGATAAACAAATTCACTTTTTGTTTTAATCCTGTTGTCTAATTACTTCACTATCTGGGTATCCATTGAGTAATCACCGTGTGATGGCAAGAGTGGGTATTTCTGTTTTTATTGTGTTTATTCCATCACCATTTCTGGCATTGAACCATATCTGAAACTGTTGTATAGGTTTGTGTTACCCATTCAATGCTGAATAACCCATTCAAGTTTAAAATGTTTTTCTAACAGTTCAAAGGTTTATTTCCAAACATTCTCGAAGTAGGCAATCCTACTAAGTACCTTTGAGTAAACTAAAACTTTATTTGATCTTGAGTTTCTGAATGTTTTCTATTTCTCCTCCGCCCCCCCACATAACTTGTGAGATAGTGGCTTTTGCTCACTATATATTGTAGGGCAACAGCCTGTTGAAATAAAACCTTTCTATATATCCTGTCATTCTATGGTGCAGTGTTAGGGCAGCCTACTTGCTACGGAATCTCAATCAAAAGACATATTTTGATCCAGTTCAGAATATATAGTTTCATGATGCAATTCTGTTTTGCCACGTTCTAGTTTAGAACAATCGCGAGCAAATCTCACTGCTAATACTTCTATTTAATTACTTTTGTAATAATTAATGGTAGGTTCCTCACTACATTGGTTAGCTGAGATAATTGATAGGATGGCTTAATATGCAGTACTTTTAATGGGATTCTTTAATAAGAATCCCTTTAGAATTCTTATCCACTCCTAGAATTTCCGTTCTAGAAGTACATTTACATTGCATCAGAATTCCCATAGTCTGTGTGATATATTTCCAGTTATTAGAAAGAGTCTCAATTTATGTGATTGATTCATTATTAAGGATCTTAATGACACTGTAATTTAGTGTCTCATACAGTGATGAATTGGTCCAAAATTTGCTTTGATTTCTGGACACCAATTCAGGAATTCTTGAAAATTGAATGGATTGATATCAAATCCATTCCTTTGATGACAGTGCCTGCTTTTATCTTTGACACTTGAAGGTTATGCCATAAATATCATATAGAATAGTTTAATAACATACAATGACCTTTGTCTACTACTGCTGATTGTAGAGCGAAATCCCCATTGTGATAGTTATGCTGGCTTTGGCTTTGTTACTCTGAGTAGTTTTGCCAGTTTGTGGCCAAATTGCGTATCGGGCTGGCTTAGTGTTAGCACTCTCGCCTCTGAGTCAGAAGGTTGTGGGTTCAAGCCCCATGTCGGGACTTGAAATCACAAAGTCTAAGTTGATGCTCCAGTGCAGTGCTGGGAGTGCGTAACATTGTTGGAGGTGGCTTTCTTTTGGATGTAACGTTAAAGCGAGGTCCTGCCTGACTGTTCAGGAAGATGTTAAAAATCCAATGCCTCCGTTTGAAAAGAGAAGGGAGTTTTTTCCGATGTCCTGGCCAGAAATCCTGCAAATAAAATGGGCCAATCGTTTCATGGCTGTTTGTGAGACATTGCTGTGTGCGAATAGGCTGCCGCATTCAACCACAAATACACAGTCACTCCACTTCACAGTAAATCCTGTGGAGCGCTTTGGGATGTCCTCCCGACGTGAAAGGTGTTATAGCAATTATTATTATTTTATTATGAATTTTTTTGTTGGCTGCCTCAGAGGAAATTGGTCCAACCCTGCAGAAGTGCCCTTCCTCTCAGCTTATGGGGCAAGCAATGATGGCTTATTGTTCAAACTCGTCCTCACAGCTGAAGGCAGTGATGAATGCCATTATAGAATAGAAAATGTAATCCTGCTCCAAACCATGTTTTAAGCATGGTATGAAATTGAATTTGTTTTAGTGTTGAAATCATTCAGATTTATATGCTGAATGGCCTGCAGCAGTTTATTCAAGAATGCTTTTTGTCATCATGGGCACACATCACTATCATGGTGGCTTCACGTTGTTTAGTAACTTGAAATGTATTAAATCTGTATACAATCTGTATATTCTAAAAAAAAATCTTGTGAGTGACTTTGTTGTTTGTTTAAATGCTTACCAGCTATGGGCACAAGAGTTGGAAACAGTAAGTATACAGTAAATGTTGGTAGTATGCAATTTAAAACCTCTATGATGTTCAGGGCATGTTAATTGAGTTCAGTAAAGTTTAATTTGTTTAAAAATATGATAATCTAATATTCTCATAGTTTATCAAAAATGTTGTGCTATTTTAGTGAAAAGATGTTCCAGTTGCTGTTTTCTGCATGTGAACAGGTTCCCTTTTTAATTGTAATGAGTGAAGCACACTATATATCACAAGTCTGAGATCCTTGCCTTTGGATTATAGGTATGAGGCTCTTCCACACTTCCCGTTTTTATGTGAGCTGCTCTGAGACTTCTGCCAATGGTAATCTTCAGCCTCACCCAAATAGGTTTGCATGCGATCGGCATAGCTTGACTGTTCCCTGTAGAAAAGTGCCACAACTCCCCAAATTTGGAAATTTGCTGTGGGGAGCAAAAAATATGAGCTTGTGTCCTACCACACTAATAGCTTGCATTACGTTTATGCGTGATAAGTTTTTTTAAAAAAACATTAGTTCATCCATTCACTTTATAGTGTAATGAGTGGTGTTGGTTTTACTAGTGTTTGACACAAATTTTGCATTATGCTTACTTTGTCCACAAACACTTATCTGAAATTCAGTTGAAGCTCAGAAATTAGAATTCTAAACTATTTCCTCTTTATACTGTTTTCTATTTTTGTCAATACTGTATTATTAGTCATCATTATTATTAGTGTACACTTTAGCTCAAATCAAATTTTGCTATGCATGCACTTTGGGTTCTAATCCTCTTTTGAGTATTAATACAATTACAGAGAATGATACAGCACAGAAACAGGCCATTCATTCCATACAGTATGTGCTGGCTTTATTCTCCACATGAACTTCCAACCCTCCAATCACCTATCCTGTACCCGTCTAGTCCCTTTATGTATGCATCCAGTTTATCGGGTCTTTTGTAGGGTCACAACAATTCAATTGTATTTTTTAGGCTTTCAGCTCCAAAATTCTAAATGTACTTACATTTGACTTTAAACTTACAATAGCTTACATTTTGAGATTAAATGTAGATACAACTAATTTAGCTCACCTCAAATACTGTTCTGAAAACGGAAGTAGTCCGAATAACAAAATGTGCTGCTATCCACTTGCATTAAATGTTTTAAGGTTCAGGGTAATAAGCCTGTGAACAGCTGAGTGAGCAAACTGTCTTGAGATCCCAGAGAGAACCAAGCTCTTAAAGAGACCTTGACCCAAGATGCTTTTCCTCTGTTTTATATGTATGTATCATTCATAACAAACTAATTATTTTGTTTGTTTAAAGAGTGTAATTGAACTATTTAATTCTGGCTTAAGATCTTTTTTGCAAGTGAAAAATATTTTGAATGATTCATTGGTAAATGCTTTGAACAGGCCCCAAAGTGTTTTTCTTTCAGATAAATAGCATAGTATCCTTATATTTCAAATATTGAAACAACAATATTTCTGAAATGTCTCCCTTCTTACACAGGCTGAAGGGGAAATGCGATTCACACAGAGTGAGTTTGACCGCCAAGCAGAGATCACAAGACTTTTACTTGAAGGAATCAGCAGTACACATGTAAGATCTTCCTTTTTCTCGCTAGCTCTACTGTATTGCTGTTTCATTGAGCAATAAGAGTCTAATCTGTTGTCTGCTGATGTCCATTAGTGAAAGCTCTGAATGCCAGCTCTTCAGACAGGACATTTATTGTTTCACTTGAAGGCCACAGAACATGCTTCCTAAAGTTTGCCCTTGCTATTTGATTAAAAATTGAAGAGCTGATTCTTACGATGTTTTTGTGTTTTTTAAAGGCCCATCACCTTCGCTGTCTGAATGACTTTGTTGAAGCTCAGATGACCTACTATGCACAATGTTACCAGTATATGGTTGATTTACAAAAACAACTGGGAAGGTACTAGAAGTTTTCAATAAAAAATTGTTTGCATTACCTGATAGATGATTAGATTGAAACACATATAAGAAAGCTTATAGAAGTTTCCATACACATTTGTGCAGATCTGTAATGCAACTTCTTTAGTTCACTCAGACAGAATGACCTTGTCCTCGTAGAGCCTCTGAGCAATGCTCTTACAGTTTATTTCCTGTATTTGTTCTACTTTTTGCAACTTCCTTTACTTCCTTTTTCATTTTGCTAAAATTGCGTCTCTAAATAAACTTATTTCGGAAACATGACAAAACCTAGTCATGTGTAGCCATTAACCAATCACTGGGGTTAGAGATTCTTCCCACTCAGCTTCTGTTAACCCTGCAAGCCAAAGCCCTAATGGTTAAGGGTGGTCCTCGCTGGACAAGCAGCGGGAAAGCTTGCCTGATAGTTTTCGATAGCACGGTTTTAGTTGGTCGGACTCCAGTTTAGGGCTGAGGATGTTTATAAGTGACATGATGAGGTCCATTAGTCAAAAGCCTTTCTGATGTGTAGCATGTTGTAATGGTCAGGGCCATGAGTTAGATATGCATTTTATCCTTTACATCTTTATTGTCTGGTCTGTTTATGAGGTTAGACATGTAAAATTATGAATATTCATTTTAAATATAAAATCTATCAGTGCCCAAGATCCACTGTTCATCTATCTACAGTTCCATCTGTTTGTAACTGAGAAGTCTCTGTGAACTACAGCTTATTAGTGGAGATGAGCATTTGTGGTATCCCTAAACATATTCTGTATTCATATTTATCATTTTATTTTCTAGTTTTCCAACTACGTTTTCTTCCAACAACAATCAGACATCCTCAGCTCCACTTCTACCTGTAAATGTGCCCTCTTTTCCTGTATCTTCATTACCAACAGCAACTGGTTCAGTGGGTACAGCCAGTTTCAGTGAATATAAAGTGCCACCTAGTGGCACCAGAAAGGCTCGGGTTCTCTATGATTATGATGCTGCAGATAGTAGTGAATTGTCACTTCTAGCAGATGAGGTGAGTAATTATTGCTTATATTTATAAATCTGCTTTCTCTTGAAACTTTTTATTTTTAAAAAAATTCCTACTTGTCCAGAAAAAAGTCTAGTAGTACTCTCACTTCCAGGTCAGATGTTTGTAGGTTCAAACCCCACATTGGTACTTTGGATCATGGTCTAGGCAGCCACTCAAATGTAGTGCTGAGGATGCCTTCCTTCCAATGATGCATTAAACCAAGGTTATATTTGCCTGTTTATTGGACGTAAAGATCCCATTATTTGAAGAGAAGGGAGTTTCCCTGAGAATCCTGGCCAAAAATGGTCCAGTTAAATTGGTCATTCACTTCTTGGCTGCTTGTTGTTGTGCATAAATTGGCTGTGTTTCTACACTTGAACAATTACCTGTAAGCATGGTCTGGCCAAAGAAAATAATCAGATCCTAAGAGAAGTAGTTGGAAAATTAGACTTGTGTACATCTACCAAGACGTTAACTTTCCATTTGTTTTTTTAAAAAAAACGACTGTTGTACCTCAACTGCTCCCACACCTGCTTATGTTCAGTGGGAAAGGGTGGAATTATGGATGGATAAATTCAGTGCGATTACTAATACATTTTTATTTCAAAAAGTGGAAATTGAGCCGAACGTGGAATTTCAAATTGTGCCATAATTTGCCATACAAAATTCATCAGATGTTCCTTATCCTCAGTGCAGTTAAATCTACTGTTTCATTAGCTGTTTCTTTATGACTGGCTTGATGTCTTGAATAAAGCTCTTTCAATGCAATGTTTCCAGATGAAACATTTATTCCAGTATGTATGATGGGTAAATATAGGTGCAGGAAGGGAGAACTTGCACTGTTATAGCATCTTATGTCAAAAATTCTTCAAGCTCTATAAGTAATTAAAATCACTTGTTGCAATTGTTTTGTACATCTCTCTCGCTCTTTCGATTGTCTTCCTCACATACTAATAATAGATCTTACTTTTGTTTTAGGTAATAACAGTTTACAGTCTGCCAGGAATGGATTCTGATTGGTTGATGGGTGAAAGAGGAAATCAGAGAGGAAAAGTCCCTATTACATATTTGGAACTGCTTAACTGAGCTGATGCCTATTTGAGCCATTAGTATGGTTGTAATTGCAATATATTTAAATGCAGCTAACTTTGTATAAATCAATTTATGAGTGTCTTCCTCACAGTTGTCTTATAAAGAGTTCCAGTCGCTGAAACTGATCCCCACTATCTTAACCGTGGCACAACTGTTGCATGTTAAATACTCATTTCATTAAAAAGAATATACAAGTCTTTGCTTTTCAAACGTTAATTCTCTTGTGCCATGAATATTATTTGCTACAAGATTTCTGCTTTAGATTTCTCCTCTATTTAATATTTCATTCACTAAAGCATAAACTTGCGCACTGTAGTAGTTGGAAATGTATTTCTTTATTAAACAACTTGGATATAATGTCTGTGTATGATTTTTAATGGCTTGAAAACACATGAAATCACATGTAGGAATAAAAGGAAAACAGCAAAGACATGAAATCTGAAACGGAACCTAGAAATGCTAGATATCCATTTTATTTACACAAATAAAATGAGTTGATACTACTGTAAATATTACGGAAATAGGCCGTTTATCCTCCCCAAAATGATTTATTCCAGCCTTTGCACATTCAACTAAGACCAGCCACAACATAAAGCATAATTTAAATTTGTTTTTGTTTTCAATGTTATGAATTAAATAATAAAAATGGCTTTAGTATTAAAGTAGCTTTTGCAGCATGGTGAAAATGTCTGGAAGGGATACAACTGGTGCACCACATGTTTGAAATGTGAAAATCACTGCTGGAAAAAATCGTCAAAAGATTTGTTTAATTTTTTAAATTGAGATATACAGTACTTGTATCACAAAAGATTGTACTTCAGTAGTAACAATACTTCCAAGTGGATTATGGAATCCCTGCAATAGCAAAGGTGAGGATTTTCTGCACTCTTGGGCAAAGGGTTTGTTTCACTCTTTATACTCAAACCAACTAACTAACAACTAACCTGCTCCTGATAATTTTGCCTGTTCCAATGTGAAATTTACAGGAGCTGCACAGTGTGACTTTCAATAACTTGACACACAGAAAACTTCTTTACTCCTGTCAACTGCACATGAAGCATGTCGGAAACATAGAAGTCTCCAATTATGACTTGTTCAACAGAATGTATCCTCACAAAAGAAAGAAAATGGGATATCCAAATGGGTTTGTTCTGCTAGGTTGGGTGAGAATGGAATGCAAGGAAATATGCTTTGGACTGTTATTGAGTCAGAAGAGCATCGAAGATTGCTGCACTGTTATTGTCATTTTGTCTTGAGTTTTGCACCAATTGTGAACCCAGTACTGTAGTTACAACCACAAATGTTGAATTGCACCCTGCCCACAGAAAATACAAAACAATTTATAATAATAATAATCCTTGCATTTGATATAGCGCTTTTCACGTCGGGAGGACGTCCCAAAGCGCTTCACAGAATATACTGTAAAGTGAATTGACTGTATATTTGTGGGCGAACGCGGCAGTCAATTGCGCACAGCAGTGTCCCACAAACAGTCATGGATTGTAAATGACCAATTTTATTATTGTTTTTTTGGAGGGATTATTATTAGGAGTGTGGAGTAAGGAAACTTGCCCAAGGTTTTGCCCTCTGCCTGGAATTGAACTCAGGTCTCTCGCTTGCAAAGCGAGTGCTCTAACCACTGAGCTACAGGACTCCATTTCTCATTTCAATGACCAGGGCTGGTATAAACCTTTACACAGAAGTGGTAAATGTAGCTTATTTAAGTGATATTTGCAGTATTGTTATCTTGCACTTTACTATGTAATTGCAATTAGCTTCTATATTTTATCCATGGCAGAGGTATATTTTGCAGCTGAACTCTGAAAGATTCATGCTACAGCCAAAGTTACTGTACTAGTTATTTTTCAACAGGTGGTCACCTTTTGATCACCTTTTTTGTTTTAAAAAATACAGCCTTTTTTTGTGTAAGACTACACAAAAGGAAATGGTCTGTTCATTTTGATGGGTTTGCAATTTGTCAGTGTTTTTCTCGAACAATAACAGCTCACTGTTTTCAGTGGTTTTATGGTGGCACTTCTGTAACAATTGCTGAGGACTGCAAGCCATTCTGGATTTGATGCTGAATGCTTTTAAAACCTAGATATTGTTCAATAAGTCGGGCAAATCAAATTTCATTTCTGAATTTAATAAAATAATTTAATATCTAAAATGGATACTGAGGAATCAATTACAAAACAGTAATTTCACCTCAGGGTTTAGTTGCATAAATTAATATTTTACTCAGTTTGGGACTTAGTGTAGTCTAAATGCAGGAGATTATTGTGTCAATACAGCAGCTTAACAGAATGAAAGCAGCAATCTTAATAATCCTTGCATTTGATATAGCACTTTTCACATCTTCTAGACTTCTCAAAGTGCTTCACAGAATATACTGTAAAGTGAATTGACTGTATATTTGTGGGTGAAATGCGGCAGTCAATTGTGCACAGCAATATAATATATCTTACATCAAAAGTATTTTCTTGAACCAATGACTTGATAATACTAACATGTACCTGATGCGTTCGATACTTTCAGTATTATTTCTAAGAACTGGACCAATTCCTGTGTAGGTTTGCGTGTAGCATCAGGAAGATTAGCTGTCTGGAAATGTCATTGGTTTGAGGATGGAGCAGTAATTGATGATGTTTGACCCAAAGAATAGCAGCATCACATGATGATACTGCAGTATAATCAGTGTTGTGGTTTCTAGTAGGTTACTGAGAAATAACAATGGATGGAAACCTGCTATTAAGGACCTGCCTATTTTGCTCATGTTATTGAGGTGTCCTCAACAACAACAAATTACATTTGCATAGTGCTTTTCACATTGGGAGAACAGCCCAAGGCACTGGACAGTCAGGGATTTGGACCCAAGCTGGGGTTTGGGATCGGGGGTGGACGGCAGGGAAGGTAGGGGTACAAGGATGCCAAAAGATGTGGTCGAAGAGGAGGGTTTTGAGATTGCCTTGACGGAAATAAGGGAGGGGGCGAGGAGGAGGAACTGGAATGGAGTTCCAAAGGGTGGGGGCAGAGAGGCTGAAGACCTGACTACTGCTGGTGGGGCAGGCCTGAGGCTGCTGAGTGGGTAGGTTGATATGGGGTAAGCAGGTCATGGAGATACGAAGGAGCAAGGCCATGGAGGGCCTTGAAAGCGAGGATTTTGAACTCGATCCTCTGGGGGATGCAAATTTGGAAAGGTCACTATAGGCAATAAGGTCTTACCAACATTTTCAAATGCAGTATCCTCTACAATCTACTTGGTTGGTATTATTTAGAAATCTATTTTTATTGGTATAAAAAAATTCACACACTAAGCCTAAATAATTGTGCATGAATCACACCAGATTTTTAAGCACATACTAGCAATGATAGATTATACATTTATGTATGTTCACATTTGTTAAAGGTTATGAAAAAACCTTTGTAGTGTAAGTTCTAAGCCGGTAAGAGGAACACAATGAAATATTTAGTCTGAAAGTTACAGGTTTTATTATTCTTAAGTTCACTCATCTCCAGAAGCAATGGGAATTAAAAATGGATTGTTAAAAGGAAGGAACAAGGAGATAAATCATCTGCTAGCTCTGAACATTTTAGATCTACCTCAATCAATTGACAAGGCAACTGCAGATCATTACCAGTTTACTGCACTGGTTTAAAAAAAGGGCCAACGAAAGCATTACAAATCAATAATGATTAGGTCAGCGCATTGTTTTACTATGTGGAATTTCAAGAGAGAAAAAAAACAAAGTTTACTGATTTTTCGATTTAATAGGAAATTATATGACAAGATGAAAAACAGTCATTGACATTTTCACTGAAAATAATTAATCATTGTTTCATCACTAGGTGAGTGGAGCGAATAATTTTCACCCATCAGTTAATTATCACCGAAAGACAAAGGATCGTGCTATACTCAATATAGATTTACATGAACTCACCTAGGGATGAAAACACATGTAAACCTTTAATTAAGCATCTAACTATGGAAATATTAGAAATGAAATAAAAATAATAATCCTTGCATTTGATACTAGTACCGTATCACGTCTTTGAGACGTCTCAAAGTGCTTCACAGAATATACTAATGTTCATTTTCATTGATCATGTCCATTTACATTTTGAAGCTATAAAATTGCATAGCAAAATAAGTTGAAGGATGGTTTGCAGAATTTATTGCTATCTACAGATTGAATCATACAATATAGATTTGTACCTTAATTCAGTTCATAAAAAACAATTGATAAGTTATTCATGAATGTTCAATATATAAATTACTACTGAAGTCATTTCATATTGTCTGTTAAACCAGAGGATTTTTGAAACAATCACCCAAGACACAGAAATAAGTCCAAGGTACATGCACACTTCAGAATTCCTCACCCTCAATTAAAGTAGATTCGGGATAAATCAGTTTGAGGAAAACTCGCAAACACTGATTTTAAAAAGCATTTTTAAATTTAGCTGCCATTGCACATCACTGGATCACATTAGTTTGATGCATCAAATATGAATTTCAATTGAATTTAGGGGAATATGTGATCAGATACAAATGTGCTTGTGAGGCATGTAGTTGAAGATCCAGTTGGTTTTATATTGAATAAGGGCCAATCCAATTCCTTAATATAATCCTGATCATTGGACATAACGTGAGAGGAAAAGGCGTAGTGTGTTTCTCCTGCTGACACTACAATATTTTACTCCTTGAATTTGACTAATTGGGAATTTATTCCTGAATCCAACTGAGGAAATGGCTGCTGGCCTGTCAGCAGAATCTTTAAATTACTCATTATTACCGCTATGAAGTCAAAGTGTTTTTTTGCTAAAAGAGCAAGAGGTTATCTCTTCCAATCCACCAGAAACATATTGCAAGATTTATTATGGGAAGACCAATCAAGCTCAATCAACAAAAGTAGCATTTCTCCACATATGACTGACTGACTGTTCTTAGATTGAATCATTGTTATTCTATTTGCTAATATGGTTACAGGAACATTCATTTTGTTAGAAAACAGAACAAGTTAGTGTAAAATGGACAGTATTAGGCCTCAGAATATATTCTTATCCTTTGAATATTTGCCTGATAGCTTCATGAATAATTATTCAAAAGAAAAATGTATGCGGCTGGGTGCTGATAAAGGCTGCTATCTTTGTCACATTTCAAAGGCTCAACACATTGCATCAACAACTTCCAGTTACCCAATTTGACAAAATGCAAGATATAGGAATGAAAAGATCATGAATGGAGATTGTAGCACGATAAGCTATAAAGTTGTGTTATTCAACAACCAGTTTGAGGACTGACACTGGTCACAATAACACATAATCAATCTGGAGTAAAGACAATGTTAATAGGTAAATTAATGATTAATGCAAACGTAGAACTTTACAAACATCTTTTATTAGCTCTTCAACAATGACATTTTTTGAACCTACTTTTACTGCAGTAGAGCGAAACCACCATAGAATGCACATGACATCAGACTACACACATCTTTTAACAGATTTTTTGTGCAGACTTCACAAAAGTGTATTTTTCTAATGTATCACATCCATCACAGTAAATAGTAAGATACAGCCAATTGACACAATGTACATTTAATAGAAAATCTTTATAGTTGACTTGTAAAAAGTGAAACAAAGTATAACATCCAAAACAGTTATATGTCTAGAAAGTCAATTCCTGATAATTATATTGACAGCTATATAGTTAAGAGATGTATGAAAATTTAACATGATTTAGATCACCATTGATCATTTATGATATCCATGAAAATGTAATAGGGTGTTACACGAATGAACAGATAGAGAGATGACAAAATATAGATACAGAAATGCAAGAATGATGTGCTGTAACTTATAAGCGTTCCAACTTTTCACTGAGGAATTCTTCTACGCTGTCTGTGTTCCACTTGAGAATACTTAATTCTTCTGCAATGTTCCCTTTATCGTCCAATAGCTTCAGTACAGGGTCAGAACCACGCACATACTAGGAAAGGACAGAACAAAAGATTAACCAGCTTCTTTCTATCTATCTTTCTTTCTATCTATATTATATATATATATATATACACACACACACGCATTTTGCTGAAATGAAAAACAGTCTAAAAGAAGAAAACTGTATTTAGCAGCATTTGTTATCAATTTCTCTATGAAAGCTCCAGCGCTTCTTATTGCAATAATTAATGTTATCTTCCTCTGCCAGCTCCTTCGATTTACTACCATAGCAATGCTGTTTTTTATCATAGTACTGTTTTTAAAAACAAAATGGCAGCAGGTAACACTGCTGAAGTTAGTAGTGCTGATGGGTATTCTTAAACTGGAGAAACTGCAGAACTCAATACTTGTTTAGTATCATAATACCACCTTTATGCTTTGAATAAAATTCATGAGCAGTTTCATGTACAGCTGCTAATAAGACAAGGCACTTAAAACTATACCTTGTATATTTGAGAGGCTTCATGAGACAAATACAACATGGGATTTGCACAATATGAAGCAATCAGATTGTGCAGTTCTGTGACCGATTTCTCTAAATGTCATATTTGCAATGTGCCAGTGACCCCATCAATCATCTTTAAATAACCAAATTACATTTAATAACTGAGAGACAACTTTGGTACATGGGAAAGAAATTCTCTACTGCTCTGCACAGTGTCTTTCAGTGCTGGAAAATCTTATTAACAATAATAATAATCCTTGCATTTGATATAGCGCTTTTCACGTCGGGAGGACGTCCCAAAGCGCTTCACAGAACACACTGTAAAGTGAATTGACTGTATATTTGTGGGCGAACGCGGCAGCCAATTGCGCACAGTCATGGATTGAAAATGACCAATTTATTATTATTTTGTTTTTTTGGAGGCATTATGATTGGGCATGTGGAGTAAGCAAATTTGCCCAAAGTTTCGCCCTGCCTGGAATTGAACTCAGCGGTTCTTGTTATGCAAAAACATTAAATGTACCTTGGCACCATGCATCAATTAACTATTTTACAGTATCCCTTCATCATACCAAATATATAACAGCTGTTTAAAAATCAATGCAAAGGTATGGGTGGTTCAGTGACTACATGCTGTGCATACCTTGATATTGCAGTATTTCTCCTACTTATTGCGAGATGAAAGACTTGCAACAGAATTGCTGCAATTGTAGAGGGACTTCAAATGTCTGTTGTCAATATTCTGCATTATGATTAGTATCCACAGGGAGTTAGTTTGTCCCAAGGGGCTTTTCAATTTGTGTACTTCATGCAGTTTAGTTGTCTGACGTGCTTTATCCATGATTTATCAAGTCAACTGTATAAGGATCTGAATATTCTTTTCTGCTCAGCAAAACACTTTCTGCTATAAAAGTACTGAATAATCAAAAACCTTGCACTCTGAATCCAAATGGTATTTATCTGCTATCATTCAGCAAATTCCCATTGTACTGCTAGTAAGAGCAGTTTCTGGGCAGATAACCCCAAGCACTCATTCCTTCCCAATACTGCAATTGAGTAATGGTACCAATATATAAGGAACACTGAAATGTAATTGATGTAGGATTTTAAAAGCCTATTTTAAGAAGTGCTGTCAGGCCCAAGTTAAAGTTTTAACAAAGACATCGCCAAATACTCTCTCAGAAATGAGGAATGAAGCAGGGAGGATGCAGGAAAGCTTCAAAACAGCAATGAGCAAAAATATGGCAATGAAAGCGATTACTAAAACATTTCCATTTAATTTTGTCCTTTAGAATAAAATTTTAGTTATAATTGTTAAAATTTTAAAAAGGGCAACTTGTTATAAGCGAATGATTGTTTATCTTCATCATGCATGAGCTACACCGATATTAAATGCGAGATCCAACATATTCCATAAAGATGCTCTCATTAGTTACAGCATAAAACTAAACAGTGATCTTTATAAAGAAGTTATTCTCTATACCCCTTTGGTATAATATGGCTTCCATTAGGACCCCGATACTGCAACTGCACTTAACATTGGTATCTATGCCATGTACAGCATATGCTGTCCCCATTGGAGCCTGATGGTAAAGATTCATAAGACATCAGGAGCACTACTATTTCTTTTCATAACCCACATCGATGAAATTTAAATTCCAGTGTAATTTTTTTAGCATGACATCAACCCACATAATACAACAGAACTACTGATATAAGAAGACCACAATTCCCCTGAAATTCTGTAATGCAGGCTTCATTCATAGTGCAGAGAAAGCCACCCTAAAACATTCAACAGGAAAATACCATAAAGATAGTGTGACTTGCAACAAGTACATTTGAACCTGTTGATGACCCAAACTCACTAATGATGGCATTGGACTAACATGGCAAAATTAGTCAGACCACCATCCTCAATAGGTTTTCAAGTATTCAGGTATTTAACATTTTGGATTGTTTTGAGTAGAATACTCCTCTCTTTAACAGGTAACAGCAAGAATTTAAAATTCTATTATGCCAATCAGAGATACTCATATTCTAAAAAATGACTGATGTTAAGAGGATATACTGTACGATGTTTTGTGAATAAATTGAAAGATAAAAAGCTTACCTTGATCTGCAAACCCTTGAACATCTTAGGCTTATCACTCCTGACAAAAGCTGAAAGATAATTAAAACAAAAAAAATGCTGTGTTAGTTTCTGAAAGTGCCTCTCCCAAGTTTATAAGTAGTTAAATTTAAATCAAGGTTTTCATAAGAGTGAAGAACGAACAATCTCAGACATAAGAGAAGTTAATTTGTGCAAGAGATTGGCAGTGCATACTGTCTTAGTTAACATACATAAAAACTGTATTGATTTCCACATTATCAATGTATGGGAGATGAATATAGTCCATGCCGATTTTAACAAGTGAGGCTTGGTTGTTTTTTTTATCATTCATACCCTCTCATGTAAAATGGCAAAATTAGTTAACCTGACCCCTGTATTTAGTACTCCAGTACTCCTAAAACCGTGCTTTAAATCAGTCTTGAATATTTGCACTCCATAAAGCATGGAGATCTACGACTGTTTGTGGGACATTGCTGTGCGCAATTGGCTGCCGCGTTCGCCCACAAATGTACAGTCAATTCACTTTACAGTGCGTTCTGTGAAGCGCTTTGGGATGTCCTCCCGATGTGAAAAGCGCTATATCAAATGCAAGGATTATTATTATTATGTTTTTCAACCAATCTTTTAATTGTGTTGTTTTCAAATGCTTATGTAATAAATTAGCAGGTGCTGACGATCAAGCTGCACATCCTATCATCCCAGATGCAAATCTGGCTCAGAGACAGAAGAGGGGCAAATAAAGGGCCTGGAACATCATTAATATTTCAGAAAGAATTAAAAATCCAGGACAATTAATACTTGTGGCTAAGACTGAACTGAAAATGCTAACAAACTGACACCATCACTAAAGGGAGGGTGTGTGCAAAATAGGAGTTATTAAATGTATTTACAACATGCCTGCTGGTAATCAGAATACTATTACAAACTGTAATTAAAACCAGCCCCTTCAGCCGATTCCACATGGGATTCAACATTCAGATTTCTGACTGAAGCTTTCATAGATTGGAAATTACTGCTTAAAATAAAGCTGGTTAAAGACATTGCAAACGTTCCAGTGAGAATATCCAAGGCTAAAATTAATTTGTGAAAATAATAATCCTTGCATTTGATTTGATATTGCACCTTAGGTATCCATGTTATAAGCAAAATGCTAAAAAAAGGCAATTTCTGCATTGTTAAGTCATGACTGACATTTAACTCCATGTTGTACACATGCATGTTATGCATATGACATATGACACAATTTGCTTTGCAAAGGGATATATGTAATAAGCAAGTGAAAGGAGTGGAGAACTTAAGACCCAGAAGTCAGTCTTTTAGCATGTGAAGCCAAGTGTAGTAGCAATAATAATATGCCCTTCCGGTTGTTATGGGTCGACAATAATCTCAAGTAAGGCATTGCTCACTTGTATAAGCAGCATGAAGAATTTAAAAAAAAACAATTCTCAACTTACTCCTGCTGTATCCTCAATTAATAAGATGTAAAATGAAATTTTGTTATTCTGATGATAATGATTGTTCAGGAATAAATAAAATATTGATTAGTTACTTACCCTGGACTTGGGGGAACCGCCCCAATTTTCATCCACACACTTCAAGGACTGCACCAGGATACAACTTAAATAAAAAAAAGTAATTTTCACACATTACCAAATTATACTGTGATATCATGTATGAACCTTTAAAAGTAGTCAACATTTTAAATTCATTCACAATGACAGCCATTTGCAATCCTTTCGTTGCAACCAGATCAATGGATATCCCAGTGATAGTAAAAAAAGAAAGAATAGGGTGGGTCAAACCAACTCTGGGGATTTCTGAAAGCCAGACAGAGGTGGCACTATAATTTATAATGCCATTATAAAGGTTGGCAAGTTTTTTTTAAATCAAACTATTTTCAACTACTTCAAACTATAGCTTTTCCAATTTTGGAGAGTAATAGATAACAAGGTGGAAGGAGCCAATCACCTAGCTTGCCATTGAAAAGAATGTTGAATATATGGAGTAGACTATTAATAAGATAGCTACTGTATTTGGCAAAAATCAAATGCAGGGTACAAGAGATTATGTAGTACAGGATTTTTTGTAATATACATTTGAGATCAGCCTGTACATTCCTTTGGGACTAGCCTGGACATTCTGTTGTGACGGCTTGGATGCAGCCATAGTTTGGGATTACTACTTTGATCCTTTTGCTGGTGAAATTATTCTGCACTATAAATGACTCAATGGAGGGGAGAGCCAATCTGTAAACATAGAGTTACTTTTGTAAATGACTCACAGTGAGAGTAGAATGGAAATATTGTGATAATACGTTTTATAAAGATCAGACTTATGCGAGTTTTACTCTAGTAGCATAAGAACAATTAGAAAATAGATGATTCTGTGTTGTAAAAGAACTTACAAGTTTCAAAATGGATATGGATAGATTTCATATTATAGAACTGTATCACCCAGGGGTATGAAATAAAAAATGTATTGACTAGCATCCAATTATACTGCAACATACTTTACTACATGGCCACTAAGGCACCGAATAACAATTTTATAGCTGCAGCTGTCAGGAGTTAGATAATGCAAGCAATGTGCAAGTGCATGCAGTAGTCAATTTATTTTTGTTCAAGTAAGTTTTTTCATATCCTAATCATAGCTCTTTGCTTATCAATGGCTGTGTTCAGTTATGGATGCCTGCTGAGTCACTAAGCATATAAAAATCCAATTAAAAACAGAATTGATTGTATACCTTCATCAAACTTGAACAAAAAATACAGCACAGTGCCCAGTATAAAGTGATGCTAAATTAAAAGCAGAGAAGCTAATTTAATACAACCTTTGTAATTACAAGACCATATTCTCTTAATCTTCAACAATTCTCATGTAGTCTTGATCACATATAAATGGAAATCCACAACTGTCCCATTTATATATGTGCCAAGAATGTAGCTGATTGAATTACTCTTGCTTTTCATCTGTAAAAAGCATAGGGCAGCTGTTTGTCATAGCAATGGTTGAAGGTTTTCTGTCCTGAAAAGAGTCAAATTGTGATTGCGTCATTTAAAAGTAACAATGCATATTTGAACGTTATGCAAAGTTGTTTTTTCATCTGCTAGAAACTGATCAATAAGTAATTTAAGTACAGTTTGATAATTAAATCTATCTGAATATTTGATAATTTGCTTCAATCCTTAAAATATTGAATAATGAAAAAACTTTTGACTACATTAAAAATAGAAAAAATGTTTATTCTTCAGATCAAAAACAGATAATGTTGAACAGGACAACTCTGTTATAATGCAACTCACTGGAGTACAAGATCACTTATAACAAAAGTGTGCTATGGACCCATGGCTATCATTATGCACTAAGGTTCCAGCTTCAGGCACACACTGGAGTAGAACACTAGCCAGTAAGCTGTGAACGCTTTCACAAGTGTTTCTAGTGACTGAAACATGTGTAGGAGCAGTCACAACGAAATTACCATTTTTTTTTTGCACTCGCGCACAAAGCTGGCTAGTCCACATCACTGGAAATGGTAACCTGGCCACAGAAAATTGTGCTTAGTGACTTTTTTCCCCGACCTGTTGACATGTAATTTTGTCAACTCAAAACATTAGTACCTTGTACTACACTTTATAAATAAATTCTAGTTTAAAATAGTACATGCAATGTATGGAAACTACTGTATATTAGAACCCAACTTGTTTCTCCAATTGTGCAGATCTTGATAATCATGCATTGCAGTTTGTCATTTGATTTTTTTTAATGAAGGGAAGAACAAACAATTTTCATTTAAAAAATGCTGATTCTCCTCCTAGCATTCTGATTCAAATTAACCAAATTGCAATATTTAATTATGGTAGATCAGATTTGGAAGCAACACCAATATGTATCTACACTGGAGCGAGCATGTCTACTTGCACATCAAATAAACATGAAGACACACAAATAGTGGATCTAAAATATAATTGAAAATCAAACCCCCTAAAGGAGAAACATACAAATTCCACGTTTAATTAAAAATCCCTGGAAGTAAAATACCATGAAGATAATCAAAATCTAGTATCAAATTTAATATTATGTGGACTAAATCATACACGCTTGAAGTTGCATCATTTAATTTCTTGATGCATTAATTTTTTAAGGACGCAACTTAAAAGTGACAGCTCTGCTTGGTCCACTGATTGCTAACTTCAATGACACTAAACAGTGCATTAACAGATGGGCTGGGCTTGCTATTTGTAAAACAAAATTGAATTCTGTTCTTTTAGAGTATTCATCACATGTCGGTAAAAGCTTAGAACTATTGTGTCATCGTACCGATACAAATTATAACTGTCTATTTATATGGAATGTTTATATATACCAACTAGCTCAAATACAAATATATCCCTTTTGCTGGTCAAACCTTGATCAGTTAATTATTGTGTAACAGAACTAGTTATTAACCACCATTAAAATTAGGCAAATTTAATGCACATTTTTGAAATCCTCAGTGGGAAGACTGAAGTCAGAAACTAGCATCGACATCAGCCATTTTATTGTCTCAGCCTCTTTACAATTCTGTTTTTTCATTTTGGATGATATTCTCAGAGGCGGACTGAGAGGGTTGGATTAAAGTAAGGAAGAATACAACAATGTAATCCTTTGCTCTGCAGACCCTGTTCACTCAAAGCATATGAAGAAGTCTGCATAACTAAATAAGATGTTTATGGCAATGCACAGGATGACAACTATTTTCAGTTTGTAAAAATCTAGATACATTGTACTGTATACTGCAATTAAATAGTTAAGTCCACCTCCAACTCATTCATTTTTGTTTCACTGACTGCTACAATAGGGTATTTGGCATGCTTCAATTCCAAAACAATTCCAGCCTATTCTGTATTGCGCACTCAGGTTTGATACATGTAAGGGCACATATCAATGAGACCTAAATATTGTTCTAGATCACAGTGTTATTTTGCTTAACAATGCACCAACATGTACATTGCAGTCAAACTTAATCTACTAACAACTGACAGTAACCTACATTTTCTCAAGGATTTGAATAATTTTATGAAATCAGGATATGTTAGCACATTTATATTTTATTTATTCCTGCTGAAAACTATTGAATTTTTAATGTTAAAAAAAATCCTCATGTTTAATTATTCACGAGTGAGACAGTGCAGCAGTACAACACTTGTGTATGGTTCACCTACCTCAAGCTGGGTCAAGGAGTTATTTTTCACTCTATGTCACTGTAGGTTCAAACTACTTTATTGTCTATTTAAAAATGTCAGATGAACCAGAGTTCCACTATTGCTGTAGGCTAGCAGTCAGTTTTCTCTGGTTACTAAATTTTGTTAAAGTACAATAAACTTCAAGTATATGTGAACAAATAATGCAATAAAGTGCAAAATTCAACATGCTGATATTGTTTCATCTATATGAAGCTACTGTTTTTTGGATGATGGGACACAAAGCAAAATAAGTGAAACTTGTAAACCCAATTATCAAATTGGTGTGCCAAATTTACACTAACACTCAGGTGAACTGCCTAATTATACCAATGTATAATACAAATACACATCATAATTTAACCCGCACCAAATACCGTATTCCCAGGGTCTAGGGACTCCCTATTACAGAATGGGTTGGTTTTAAGATCTTTATACTTGTGTACAAATCACATCATGCCCTGGCACCACCCTAGCTCTCCAATCTGCATACACCCCTCTCCATTACCCGCCGCCTTCGCTCAACTGACTCCTGCACACCTCTCGTCCCTATTGACGATCATGCTTTCAGCCTATGTTCCAAAACTATGGAGCTCTCTGCCTCAATCCCTTCCCCTTGCCTCCTCCTTCCCAGTCATAAGATCACACCTGAAGACCTTTCTCTTCGACCGTGCCTGCGGTCACCTCACCCCTGCATCAAGCTCTGCTGCCGTTAAGCATTCCGAGACGCTACCCCATGTGAAAGGTGCTATATAAATGCAAGTAGTTGTTTTTAATTCTCTTCTCCCCACTTCCCAAACAGTAAGTAAATGTATTTTTGCAATCATAGGACAGCTAATCACAATGCTGATTACAAGTAATTCCCTCAATGTAATCCTGCTGCATTTCTTAAAAATGGCATGCATTCACCAATATATTCTACAATATGCAAGACAACACTGCACATGTCTATTCACACTCCTCCAGCAAATATTGTGAAGTTATAAATCAGTAATTCACTCAAGGGAAGTGAACTTTAGAATTTCAGTTTAAATATTAATGGCATCATTCAAATAATTGAACTGATGATTCACAAAATGTGCCCTCTTCCAAGCAGATAATTTCAGCTGAAATTATTCTGATGGTTACTGAATGAACTGGGTATTTCAATAGTATCTTGGAAGATGAATGCAAATGCACAGATGTTGACAAGATTTTCTGTTGCTCCCACATCGACACATTTAGCTGCAATGTGTTGCAAACTATTTTAAGAGTGCTTTCATGAAAACGTAGTTCAATTAAACGTGTATTAATTGCATCATCTGTAATTCAAAACAAAATGATTTAAAAAGTACAAGCCAACCCATTATAATGTGATGTTTTGTGTCCATAAATTGATTTCATGTCACAACTAATAAAAAGCCAACAGGAGGTGGTTCTGTGTTTTTAAAGTTGCTGCTAATATTACTTCCTATTCATAGCATGCAACATGCAGAAAGATGATTAGTCAGTATAAGAATTATACAATTCTTCTGGTGCACCATGAAACCATCTGTGTGGTCTACCGAAGTGCAGTTCAATGGGGTTGGCCTGCAATTATTCCTGCGCAAATAATTTAATTCAGTGTTATTCATGAGATATTAAACCTTATAAAACTAACTTATTTTAATCTGATACTGATTTCCAAGTCATTATTTCAAAAGCAATACAACCATCTTATTTGAGTATACAAGGACACAATTAAAGTTACTCTGAAAAATCCAGTAAAGAATATAACTAAACAGAATTATAACTTTTACTATGCATTTCACAGATCATAGTCAAACAAAAACTGATGGTTTATGTTCCACAAAATTCCTAACCTCAAATCCATTTTCTACCAAATACACTAGAAACAGAGGCAAGCAAACAGAAAATTGTTATCACTGCTCTGAAAAAAATAATGAATGAGCCACCTGCCACAAAAAGAAAGATAGCTCCCCTAATGGTTGAGTGGGTAAAGGCACAAAAATCACACAGACCAGAAAATGCAGGTATAAATCTTGTACTGTGAAAGATACTCAGGAAACACATTAGAATTGACCTTAGAGTAATGAGTAAAGGAGAGAAAATTCAGACATGGTTTATTTTCCTGTGTTGTCCAATGTCGAAAGGTATGCATCATCATAAAGAAGACTTTGGGCTGCAGACACGAGTATATAAATTACTGAGGATGGATAGGCTATTCATTTTCAGCAGTAATTATCACGTGCATCTCAGAACAATTGTTGAGATAATGACAAATAATGCAAGTGCATTTCCATCACTAACACTCCATAAAATGAATCTCCATCTCTGATGCTCTATAATACATATCACAAGCAACTCTATCAATGCTATTTCAAAGTTATTTCAGGAACAAATGCAGCAAACCTTTCTTTTCAGACTGAGAAATACAAATTTTACCTAATATAACGACAAAATTACATTTGTGTAGTGCCTTTCAAGTCAGGAGGATGTCCCAAGGCACTGGACAGACAGAGTTATGGACCTGAGCTGGGGGTCACGGTGGGGGAGAGTGGAGGACGGGGGGGGGGGTATGCAGGAAGATCGAAAACATGGTCAAAGAGGAGGGTCTTGAGGTGAATCTTTAAGTGGCAAGGGAGGGGGCGAGACGGAGGGACTGCGGGATGGAGTTCCAGAAGGTGGGGGCAGAGTGGCGGAAGGTCCGCCTTCCAATAGTGGGGCGAGCAAGATGGGGGATGTGAAGCAGGCCAGAGCCTGCTGAAAATAACTAAAGAATCTGTTGCTCAACAATGCATGGCAGGCACAAAATAAAGCTGTACCTTTTTAGTTTCAAGCTGGGCATCCTCTTGGCAGCATTGCCTGCAGTATGGGTCCAGTTGATTTAAACTGAACTGACCAAGAAGATCACAAGAACTGCAAAGCAAGTTACTGGAAAAGCCAATTTCTCTACAAGCTTCAGATGAAAAATCTGCTCCATATGCTGCTATCTGAAATAGAGAGGAGAGGGTTCATTATCAATCTATTATGAAGTCAATTTAAACATACTGTACATATCAGTGAGTTAAACAGATTACAAGATTGTGTCTTTGGTGCAAATTTGTAAGATGAGATGGGCAGTTACAATACAAGAGGAAAGTTATTTTCACCATCAAGAGCAAATCTATACCAGCAAGTAAGGAACCACTGATTTTTTCACCATGTTGACAAACATCCACAAGTTTAAATACTACGGGATGAAGTTTTGGGTCACAGAAACATTACATTTGAGAAGCTTCACCTGCCATAGCCATAGAGACCTTAATTCTAACGATTGTGAGACTTGGCCAACCCTTAATAAAGCAGCCGGTTTTGAGGACTGTTTCATCTTTCTGGTGCAAACGAAAAATACAGAAAATGTGGCAGTATTTCGAAAGAACGGTCACTTGTGGAGTGGAGAGGAAGCATTGCAACACAGACTGAACGATCACAAGTCGAGTTGAGATAAATCAAATTGCACGTTCGTATAAGAAACGTAACCGGTTAATTGCTTCTCTGGGAACCAAAGGATGTGATTACAGGTTACAGGCCACGTCATGCGAACCAAAGGCCGGGGAAGGGGGTGGGGGGGAGCCGCGTCCCTCGTCCTCCAAAGTCTTCATCCTTCTCTGAGGAAACCGTGGACTAACCCACACCCTTGTCGTCCACCTCGCCGAAAAGAAGGAGAAAGAATAGGAATCTGTTCAACAAAATTACCGCATTTAAAAAGGGCAACAGCCACAGCAGGAAAACCTCCGCCGCCATCTTGAACCGCCGAGGACCCCACGCGCGCCAAGTCAGGCAAGTGACACCTCTACCTATCTGACTGCTTCAAACTAAATCCTCGCAGTTCACTTCTGTGTGGTAATCGAACGGGAGGGGGGGGAAAAAAAAAAAAAAAAAAGAGCGAGAGACTGGGGATTTAATCCTTTTCGCTTTTCTCGTTTCCACTCGATGACCCTTCCCTTGGCTACTTTCTGTCAGGCGAATGAGATGGACCGCTCGTCCCCCTTTCGGGAAGAGAAGCCCGCGCGCGGGGGCGGCAGCAGCAGTCGGCGCAGCGTCGCTGTTGCGGAGAGAAGGCAGTCAGTGAGGCGGTCGGTCGGTCAGTCAGTCAGTCAGTGAGGGCGGGCGGGCGGGCGGCCCCACGGTGAGAGTTGTGAGACACACACACACAGAGGGAGAGAGAGGCCGAAGTTGACATACTTCTTTGCTCCGATTTAGCGGCTGCGTCTCTCTCACCGACGTGATTATGTGCGCGGTTACAGCTGACGAGATTCGCCGCCGTTTGTCGAGCTTTCCACGCTTTTGACTCCATTCCCCCCCCCCCCCCCCCCAACCCCCTCACCTTCCCCTTCGTCCCCACCACCACCACCACCTCCCTCCCCCCTCTCTCTCTCTCCCCCCCCCCCTCCCCCGTTGGTTTTCTTTATTTCGGTTAAACCGCGGCATGTCTTGATAATTTCATGGGGCTTCTCAGAATCATCATGCCGCCCAAATTGCAGCTCCTCGCGGTTGTGGCATTTATGATCACGATGTTGTTCTTGGAGAATCAGATCCAGAAGCTGGAGGAGTCTCGGGGTAAATTGGGTAAGTCGGAGGGGGCATCGCCGGCGCGCGCGTGTGTGTGTGTGTGTGTGTGTGAGGATATGAACCCCCCGGACACACACACACACACACAGCCTTGGGTGGTTTCGTGATTTATTATTAACGAAGAACTCCCCACTCCCCTCCCCTCCATTTCCTAATCTCGCACCTTCTTCTTGGCAGAGAGGGGCCGTTCCTCGAGCAGCAGCTTCTTTTATATATTTTTTTTGAGTTCGCTTTGGAAAACGGGCGTTCACGGCTGCTGCAGCTGCCGGTGGTTGGGCCTGTACTGGGCATTACAGCAACTCAGCCCCCCCCCCCCCCCACACCCCACACACACACCAGCCCCGCGTTGTGTTAAATAAAAGTCCTTTGATTTGAGATATGCGAATTTAACACGTGTGCGATGTTAACAATTTGATACAGTCGAGACGTTTGCAGTGCTCTCGACTGCTATTGAATTATGACTGGCCTTTAAAGAGGTGCACCACAGTATTCTGTGCATTTCATAATCTAATTTCACGAGTTAAATTGCCTACATAGTGAGTGACATAGTTGACATTAAGTTACGTGTGGTCTGCTGTATGAATGGGATTCTAAATTACATGCAATATCTCCTTTGGGTTGTATTTTGTTTATCATGCTTCATCTTTCAGTGTTGATAACCTGTAAATGACTTACTATGTGTGAGAGTAATAAAGAATTATGTCATATGAACTGTCCATGCTCAGACCTCTGGGAGGATCAGTCAGAGTATGTACCTTTCAGGGAAGTTTGAATAGAAAAAAGAGAATGAATGACTGTTTGTGTAGCAGAACAGGTTGAGCGATCGTGGCCAACTTCAGAGAGGAGTGTGTTTGGAGTGCCTTTGGAACTCCATCCCACACTCGCTTCGCTCCCTTTCCTGCCTCTTTCAAGACCCATCGATCTTGTGCCATCGATCACCCTCCTTCCCCACCCCCACCCCCACCCTCCGCGATCCCAACCCCCAGTTTGGGTCCGAAACACTGACTCTCCAGCGCCTTGGGATATCTTCCCAATGTGAAACGCACTATACAAATGTAATTTTGTGGTTGTTGTTGCTTCCTTCAAGGCACATCTTCAAGGCATGCCTCAGGATCCTCCTCTTCAACCGTGCCTTCAGCCACACTCCTACCCCCTGTCCTCCACCCTCCCTGTTCCCATCTGGGAGCGGGTCACCCATCTGCCTTTTTGATTAGGGAATGGTGCTTAAATTTTAAAATGCTTCTATTTTTCAAAAAAAGCCAAGATTTGCAATTTTCAAGTCTAAACAAGAGTGATATTCAATTGTAACCATGCTTTTGAAAATAGTCGTTAGGGCTGCCGCGGTTTGCCCACAAAGTGCAGTCAATTCACTTTACAGTGTATTCTGTGAAGCACTTTGAGATGTCTTGATGATGTGATAAGGCGCTATATACTGTATAATCTGTATAGCAGTTTGTTCATTTTCAAAATAGTTCAAAACAGTGTTCTGTGACTTCATGCAAATTCTGGTTTGGAGGAGATTAAATGAGTATTATTTTATTCAAAGTTTTAATTATATAACTGCATAGGACAAATGAATGGGTCATGAGTTGGGCACATACTGATTCGTAGTTTGTGGAGTCCTGTAGTTCAATGGTTAGAGCACTCGCTTTGCAAGCGAGAGACCCGAGTTCAATTCCAGGCAGAGGGCGAAACCTTGGGCAAGTTTCCTTACTCCACGCAGAGCCTAATAATAATCCCTCCAAAACCAAAAAAAAACAATAATAAATCGGTCATTTTCAATCTACGACTGTTTGTGGGACATTGCTGTGCGCAATTGATTGCCGCGTTCGTCCACAAATATACAGTCAATTCTCTTTACAGTGTGTTCTGTGAAGCGCTTTCGGACGTCCTCCCGACGTGAAAAGCGCTATATCAAAATGCAAGGATTATTATTATTATAGTTAATTTCGGCTGTATGTGCGACATTGAGGTGTGCAAATTTACTGTTGTATTTGCCTATAAGATACACAGTTACTACACTTTACAGTAAATCTTGTGAAGCAACTTCTTGGTGTGAATGGCGCTATTGCAAATGCAAAGAATTTTTCAATGGAATTTTTCTTTTCTCTTAATCATCTGCAACTTATTCTTCAATAAGCCAGCAAATGTCACATACCAATATTGTACTTTATAAATATCATCCAGTTCTGCATTGAGATTGAAATGCTCTTTCAAAATGCAAGTAATGCCAACTCTCATAAAATGGTAAAACGAAATGTGATTTAAAATATCATACATAGTATATATTTCTTAAAATAATGGATACCAGGAAATGAGTTTACCTAATCTCTGGGTTAGTTTGCCTTCCTAAATTGCTACAGCTTTGTTCCGTTTTTGAGATGCACAATTGCAGTTATATTTTGCCCTGTATATCACTCCTAGTTATCTGCTGCATTTTCTATCAATTCTGCCTAATGGCTTTTAAAATATTTTATTTCTGCTTCCACATAATTGTGGTGTGTGAAGTAAGATTTTATAAATGATTAACTGGTACTGTTAATGGTATGTCATTTGCTGCAGTTCAGTAGGTTTGCTGCCATAAGTAGCAGCATATTGAAGGGGAAAAAATGCAATTTACTTGTAATAATCAGTGTCGAAATCACAATTTGGTGTCACCTACTGTAGTGTGCTGTACATTTCTTCTACATATTTGGCTTGGGTTTCTACCTGGTGTGCAGGAAAGACAACTTAATGCAATAAATCTATTTTATGTGTTTTAAACTTTAACTCTGTAGAAGATGATGATTTTGTTTATTTCTCCATTGCATTTGATTCATACAGATTGTTTGACAGATATTAATGGCAATTTTTAGTACCAAAATTGCCTTGTAATGTTTCACATACTATGCATGTTGTTTGCTGTAGTACTTTGCTGAATGTTTCCTCAGGAGTAGGATTAAATAACATTGTATAAAACTAGTGAAAATGATGAATGGTTTCTATTAAATTATGTGACAATTTTAAGATGCACTGTTAGAAATCCTGTTTCCAAGTTGCTTTGAGTATTCCTGCATTGAAATTAAAAGTTTTTTTTCCAAGAGTGACAATTTACATAGCACCTTTCACACCACGAGGATGTCTCAAAAGGGCTTTATACAGCAGACTGTGAGCCCAGGCAGTTGGGGGTGGGACATATTACAGTACAACCCAGATCTAGATTTGAAAAATAAATGAATTCTAGAGTGCATCAATCTTTGTTTCCTTTTAGAATTCTCGAATTAATTTTTTATTGAACCAATTATTTATTTCTTTGCCAGGAATTAATGTGTGAGAAAGCAAGTGCCGGCATAAACAAGTCCAATCTCCTTTTCTTAACTGAAAGTCCTTACATATGCACATTCCTATCCAGAGAATTGTAGTCGGCCGAATATGGCAACAATTCAAATACATATTCGGTCCAAATTATTTTTTTCTCCTGATTAATCTTATCAGTTGTAATCCCAGATGTGCTTACAATTTCTATTTTGTATATTAATGACTTATGGTTATTTTTAAAATCAGATTTTGCTGTTTTTACAAAAAAAATTGTAGGTATGGGTCCTTGGATATCCCAATAGGTAAAGGCTCCATCTCTGTGCTCACTGAGCCAATTGTACCAATGATCAAAAGTTTAATTCCCAGTTTGCGCTTAGTTATCTGATCTCAGCTGGGCAGCTGTTGGCCTTGTTACCCCAGGCTAAGGATGCAAAAATCAGTCAGTATTCTTCTTCTGATCACTATGTGGTGACCTGTGCTGGAATGTGCATGTGCGTATGGCCATTTGGTAATGTGAACAGGATTGAACTTGTTTATGCTAGCACTTACATTCTGGGCTCACACATTAATGGTCTAGCCAAGAAATGAAATGAAATATAATTAGGTTTAATAAATAAAATGGATTTGGAATTCTAAAAATAAATCTAGATTGATGTGTTTTTATTTCATTTATTTTCTGTATCCAAATTGCTTTATGCTGTAGGAGAGTTCAGCGGGTTAATTTCTAATGCAGCTATTTATCTATTCAGTAAAAAGCATAGTCTTTATTTCCTAAATTATTTTTTGTTCCAATTTTTGTTTCCCCAGTTACCAACAGATTAATGAAAAGTTGATGTCCTTGTTCATTAATATAAATTAGTTGTGGGTTAATTTGCATTCTTTTGCAAACCTTTCCCCACGGGCCTTCTTGAGCAGACAGATTATATCTAAATAAATCTCAAATAGCAGCTGTGTTGCCCAGCTACAATAACCTAGAAAGTAACATCTTACTGAACATGGAATATGATAGGTTAAATAAATTGGGAACAGTCACTGATGGAACAAAGATTTGGGCCCATTGAATAGAATTGGCTGCCTATCCTTTCCCATTCCATACTTTTATGTTTGCTGCAGTTTTCTTTTGGAACTGTAAATTCCTTTGGGTTTTCTTTGTTTTCTTGTATGGCGAATTGCCCTTTTTAAAATGACTTGAGATCCATAGAGAAAAATAAAGGACTATTTGCTGATCTTCTGAATGAATTCAGTTTTCCAATGTAAGATGCAAAAATTGAATACCAATTTAAATTAATGAAAATTATAGGTCTTATTTGGAGACAAAATAATATGTGTAATTCTAGGTAAACTTCAATGGAGGGGGAAATGTACTGAATGATCCCAGGTTACAGTACAGTATTTTCTTAATCTGAAGAGAACTTTTGATGGGTGTGCTTTGGCTTGTGCATAATGGATAAATAATTGTCTAGTGGGAAATGTACTATTTTTCTAAGGATCATGTGATACAAATTAAACAATCTAGAGTATTATGCATGAAATGATTTCCTGAAAACTTTAATTATGTGTGCTCCACAATACATTCCCCACACATATCAGTAAGGAAATACGAGTAAGATTACTGAACTTCTACAAAATATTTCCTCTCTTTGGATTCATTATGGTAAATGTTGAATTGGTTTATGGATCTGAATAGAAATGTATTTCCA